GTCTTCTGTTCAAATCTACAAGTTTAGTGTTTTCTTCTTTTTTCTAATCTTATTCTTAAGCTGCATACTATTTTTAAACTGTTCCACCCACTAGACATTTTGACCTGTTTCTTTGCTCACAGTTGCTACTTCTTGTATTTTGTTCCTTTTGTCTAGATTCAGTTTCCTTCTTTCTGAAGTACAGTTTTTAGTAGTTTTTTCATTGATTGCCAGTGAGTGGTAAACTCCTATTTTTTGTTGCAGTTGAGGAGTCTGCTGTTGTTTTAGTTACTGGAAAAGCGGCATAGCATAGTGATTATAAGCACGGATTCTGATATAAGACTGTCTGAATTCAAGTCCTGGCTCTGCCTTCCCTGAATTTCATCATTGTAAAGTGGGAAAAGAGTAGTACTAAGCATGTTTTCCTATCCTTTCCCTATTTGGATATTACTCATGTCTTACCCTCTTTTTTATATTGCCCATAACTTTATCTCTTTGTGCTGCATTCTAGATAATTTACCCTTACAGTTTACTAGTTCATACAGAAAAGTAGACCAAAAAACAAAAAAAATAGAAAAACTGAAATAGTGACTAGCCCAATTAGATATTAAAGTATACTATACCACGTTAACAAAATGAAAGATAAAAGTCATATGATTGTCTTTTGCCTCTGAGAAGAGGAGCTAGATGACTAGGGGCAGGAGTGGGCGGGCAACTAAACTGCACAAGTAGTAAGTGATAGAGCTGGAATTTTTAATCTAGGTCTTTGGATTCCAAAGTGGATCTGTTTCTTCCCCTCGTTCTGCAAATACAGAAGCCTTATACAGAGCCTTTTAAAATTTTGAAAGTTTATTAACTTCACATTAATCAAAAGTACCACTCTTTGATACAATTCACAGGCATCATTTATTGTAGAGTTTCTTTAAAGTGTAGTACTTTGAGATATTTTCAGACTTGAATTGAAATGAGTTGTTGCCTATGATTTTATTTTTTTAAAGCTCCAAACTAGTGGTCATTAAAAACTTAGATCATCCAGTTTGCCTATAATTGAATTAATTTTAGGGGGGGGGGTATTGGGGGAAACAGCTTTCGTCTCTTATAGAAACTTTAATTACCCTTTTTTTAAGGTTTCCGTGGGTGAACTACCAAGATGACAATCTCAACGTTTCGATTCCAGTGTTTAGTATTCATGGCAATCATGATGATCCCACTGGGGTAATTCTTGAGTTCTTACAATTTCTTGAAGTTTTAGAAATGATCAGTTGAGCCTGTCTGTGGAAAGCATTCTTTCCCTTCTTCCCAGTTTTTTGTCAAATTGAGTCAGAAAGTCAAATTGACTTTTTATCATTCATATAAGCTTTTATACTGCTTTTTAGATAATTGTTTAAAATCTGAAATAATAATTGGTATGTGAAGTATGCTTTTATTTCGTTAGTGCTAGAGTTAACAACCAGTAACCAGGACTAGGAATCAATACCCAACATTTGTATAAGGCTTTACAGTTTACCAAGTGCTTCTGTATCTCTTATCTCATAAAATCTCACCTGTAGGAAATGATTGTTTCGTGAACAATTTTAAATCTCAATTAGGTCATCTTATTACCTGTTTGATGTAGAAGTAGTAATAGAGATTCTAAACTTAAAATATCTTTTTATCTGGTCATTAATATTGTAAATCGCTACTTACCTAGTTTTTTTCCCCCGTGTCTTAAGAGGTCTGCTTAATACTACAAAGCGCTTATTCACGGCTGATTTTTATTTTTCAGCGGCCAAGGCATCATGATAAATTTTGATGAAATGTTAACTTTGCATTTAGCATGTGATTCCAGTTGCAGTAGGTCATTGGTAATAGAAAAAAGGTAGCAAATACTTTCACTACTGTAATTTTGTTTTGAGATGACACTATCCTAATCTTATGTTTTTATAACTAGTATATAGAATATAGTTTTAATAGGTAATAATATGATATGCAGATTACTTATTTTTATATATGCATTAATATTCTCCGAAAATATTTTGCATAGGCAGACGCACTCTGTGCTCTGGATATTTTAAGTTGTGCTGGATTTGTAAATCACTTTGGACGTTCCATGTCTGTGGAGAAGATAGACATTAGTCCAGTTTTGCTTCAGAAAGGAAGCACAAAAATTGCTCTATATGGCTTAGGTAAGATGGTTTTATTTTACTATTTACGTCAATAAATATTTAATTGTTTAAGCAACTAGGAAATCAAATTCTGATGTTAACTTTGTTGTTTGGAAAAAAGTGAGGCACATTTGATTATTATTTACGGGTGACTGTAAAAAATGATAGAAGGTTTGGGTAGAAATTTTTTAGTACTTAGTAGGACCAATAGCCCTTGATACTTGTTTTTAATAGCAGTTTTGGTGAAAAAATATTTTTCCTTTAGTATCTGTTTATTTTTTCTTTGTTTTAGACTCAGATATAGACTCTTGAATGTTAGAGTTACAGAGTAATTAGGAAAAACTGCATTTTGATATCTTAGAAGTCTTCAAAAGGTCTAAAGCTTCACTGTCCAAGATGGTGACCACTAGCCTCATGTAGATAGTGAGCACTGGAAATGTGGCTAGTCTGAATTGACATACGCTGTAAGTACAAGATACACATCAGACTTCAAAGACTTAGGAAAAAAGTAAAATACCTTATTAAGATATTAGGTCATATAAAATATATTAAAATTAATTCACCTGTTTGTTTTTAGTTGTTTTAATGTAACTACTAGAAAATTTAAAGTTATATTTGGCTTGTGTTAGTGGCTAACATTGTATTTTTATTAGACAGTGCTGTCTAGAGCTGTCATCTATAGTGCTCAAAAAATTTGCTTTATCGACTTCACTATCTTCAATTTATTTTGTGTCCAGTAGATAAAAGCCTATTTGCTAGGCTTTATTCCATGTGATTGAAAGATCAAAGACTATTTTGAGAGTGCAGTCTGTTTATTGTGTCTTCCTTGGATTAAGTTCAGCTTGATATATTATTTGTTTTATGAATGCAATAGCTTTATTGTTTTTATTGTGTATAGAGTATTATAAAAACTATATTTCGTTAAATCAACCTTAAAGTACCCTGCGAGTGATTGGGGAAAATTTCACAGGTAACCTCAAATACTTTTTGTTATTTTTTGAGTGATTTTAGTATAGTAGAAGCCTTAGAAGATCTTATTTACTTCAACTCTCTTTGTATATATATATTTTTTTTTTGGTGAGGGACATTTGCCCTGAGCTAACATCCATTGCCAATCTTCCTCTTTTGTTTTTTTTTTTACTTGAGGAAGATTAGCCCTGAGCTAACATTTGTGCCAATCTTCCTCTACTTTGTATGTGTGATGCTGCCACAGCATGGCTAACAAGTGGAATAGGTCCTGCCAGCAACCGCCTTGCCCCCTTGAAGCTAATTGCCAACTGGCTAAACTGCCCTCTTCTTTCCCTCAAATTTTTTTACCTGCCTACCTTCAAATTTTGTCAGTGTTTTCAGTGCTTCAACAACTATGTGCATCAGCCTTCTAATGCCCTGGACTTTGTATGCCTGGGCTTTTTTGTCTCCAGTAATATGCTCTGTATTCCACTATCTATTGCACTGGCCGCACCCTAGGAATTCTCCATAGAAGCTAGACTTCTTCCAGCTTTTTTATGTCTGTGTTGTTGTCTTTTCTTCCAAGGCCTTCCCCAGTCACTACATGAAGTAGCCACCTTCTACCCCCATTGATCTTCCCCATCTTAGCATCCTGACGCTTTCTTCTTTTATGATATGTACAATTGCAATTTGTGTGTTTGTTTACTTGTTTTTGTTGCCCTCCTCCACTAGACTAAGATGATCCTTTGAGGTACTGGAAAAATTATTTAAAAGTCATTAAATTATTAAAAACTATGGTATTTTTATTTAAAAACACAATGTATATAAGAGTAGTATTGTTAAATACATTCATTATTTATCTCATCCTTTTTAATATCTTTTTCTGTGTGTTTTATAATGTATCTGTTAGGTCAAAAGTACATATATACTTACAATAAATAAAGGAATAGTGAACAACAATATTGTTAGAAATTTTAATAAGAATTTAAGCAGAGTACTCAAATTTTTATTCCACATTTTCCAGATTTTGAAGGCATATATGCTTGACATGGAAAACATTCTTTGAATGCAACTGTCTGCTTAGCAGCTGTCATGCAAGAACCTGGAACATATTCATTTGTAAATAGTGATTCCAGATTTCAAATATATCTCTAAATGGAAAATGAAATACTTAGAGAAGCACCTACTTTAGAAATAAAACATATTTATTTTTTCAAACCAACTAAGAAACTAGTTTTAAAATAATGCCATGTCCATTTCAGGATCCATTCCAGATGAAAGGCTCTACAGAATGTTCATCAATAAAAAAGTAACAATGTTCAGACCAAAAGAAGACGAGAACTCTTGGTTTAACTTATTTGTGATTCATCAGAACAGGTAAAGGTTTTCACTGAAAATTTTTGAGTCAAGTATTTGAGGTTCCCCAAATCTCTGTTTCTAGGCTTACCTATTTCAGTAAAATGCTCCTTATTCTTTGAAATTCAATGCAAGATCAGGCAAAACTTAGATATGCTTTGTGTGACTGCACTTTGAAGTTGTTTTCAATATATATTCATACCTACAAAAGAATATTTATAGCAACATGGATAAGGTGTAAAAATGACCATAAAAGGAGTATTCCTAAATTCAGCAAAGTGGAACATTACCAGTACATTACCCCATGCCCTTCTTTCCCCGACCCCGTCTCTTTCCCACACCCCAGAGGAAGCACTATCTTCAGTTTTTATTTAATCAGTCCATTGCTTTGCTATATTGTTTACTTGTATATCCATAATGAGTGTTTTATTTAGTTTTGGTATAACTGGAACCATGCTGTATATTTTGCAGCTGGCTTATTTATGTTCAGTATTACTAAGAGTCATCCGTTGTGATGCTTAAAAGTGTAATTTGTTTTCACTGATGTATACAGTCATACTTTCTCCTGTTAGTGAAGGTTTTGCGTTATTTCCAGGTTTTTGCTTTTTTAAACCTTTCGTTATGAACATTCTTATGCATATCTCCTGGTGATATATGCAAGTGTTTTTCCAGAATATAAATATAGTTAGCTCAGCTGTCTTTTGTTAGTAGTTTTAAGAAGTTTAATCTGTTGGAAGGGTGCAGGCTTGACTGAGTGGAATAGAGACTTGAAGAAGCAAGATTTATGATGTGATCATTACAGTAAAAAAAAAAAGTGAGATGAGAACAGTGATGGCAGTGAGAATGATATGTAGGGGACAAAGCTGAGAAATTATATTAAGAACCCAAAGGAATTTGGGCCTGATTATATAATATGTTATTTATTGAACAGATGTTCTTTGACTACAGAATACTCTGGTGCTTATCCAGCGCTAAGTATATACATTCTTGAATAAACAGTGTGAATTTCAAAGGAGGAGCAGGCCAGAGTTTTGATATGTGTGGTCTCCATATAACTTTGCACCACTGGGAGTTTGTTCCTTTCTTGCTTTAGGGCTTCCCAGTTCTGCCACGCTTTCTACTTTCCCAAAGTAGGAATAAGTCAGAAGGAAAAGTCCTAAGTGATTCCAAGAATTTAAGCCAGAATGAAAGGTGGAATGGCATTGTTAAAGGGAATGGGTAGTATGATGTTGGTATATAGCTGGTTAGTTGCTGGTGATGTTATCCCCGATCATTTGGTTTGATTAAGATATATACCAGGTTTCTCCAGTGTAAACGTCCCATTTTCCACTTTATATTAATAAATATCTTGGGAAAAATACTTTGAGACTATGCAAATATCCTGTTTTACCTTAAACTTTTGCCCACTAATTTTAGCTTCCATTGGTGGATCTTCCTTCCAGCAATTAACACTGTGGTGGTGTAATTGTGATTTTTTTATTTCCCTCATTCTTTCTTCACTTATTAGCTGAAATTTTTCCTGAGGAAGATTTGTCCCATCTTTCTCATTTATTTATTCAGTTATTTATGTTGTTATGCCTTAAGGATATTTATTTTATTCTTTGAGTTATAGTCTAATGCTATCAGTTTTTTTTGTTATTGTTCAAATTGCTCCAACTTTGACCATTGGGAGCTCTTTGACATTGACCTCTGTGTCCTTTCAACATGCCCTCTTCCTTTTTTTTGACACGTCCTAAACTTTCTAGTACCACAACATGCTCCAAGCTGATCTTTCTTTTCTACTCTAGTCCTGGAATCAACCACTTCTCCAAGGAGTCCTGATTGCTTTTATTGGAGAGTGGTATTTGGAAATCCAGATACAGCCACTAGATGTGCTTATTGCTGCTGGGGCTCTCTCAGCCCTCTCAGTGAACAGAGTTTAAGGAAATATGTGTATGTATACTAACCCATGCATATACATCCTACATTTCTGTATCTATCTAAATATGTATAAAGAAGACCAAGCATGAGTTCATACTGATTCTAATCCAGTCCTACAGGGTTCATTTTTGTCTTTTCCTTGCTTGTGACTTCTTTCTCTAACAGTTAGAAACCTGGGTTGTATTACCTACAATATATTTACTTATTTTTTTCAATCCTGAGTTACATATAAAGTAATTGCAAAATTGCTGACCCCTACCCCTGTGAGATGCAGATTTGCCAACTAAGGTACAGTGTTTGTGTAAGTTATTTTGGTCTTTAGCCTTACTCTGTCTAATTGAAACACTGCTTTGCAAAGTTACTAGGTCAGCTCTTTACTTTACCACCCCCTTCATTGTGGTTACATGGTTCTTTAATAGTTCTGTTCAGTTTATTTGTCACCCTCTGTATTCTTAAGATACTTATTTTGTTATTGCTTTCATGGACTTATGAAAAAACAGATTTTCTTTTTTAAAAGAGAATCCTTCAGCCTTATACATTTTACTTAATTTCCCATTGGTTCCTATGCATGGACCAGTTTCTTTCTCCTGCTGCAAAAGAAGGTAGGCTCTGAAGCAGAAGAGGACTTTGTCATGCGAAATATTTCCATAAGGATTTTTTTTTTTTAAAGATTTTATTTTTTCCTTTTTCTCCCCAAAGGCCCCCAGTACATAGTTGTATATTCTTTGTTGTGGGTCATTCTAGTTGTGGTATGTGGGATGCCACCTCAGCGTGGTTTGATGAGCAGTGCCATGTCCGCGCCCAGGATTCGAACCAACGAAACACTGGGCCGCCTGCAACGGAGCGCGCAAACTTAACCACTCGGCAACGGGGCCAGCCCTCCATAAGGATGTTTTGATAAACTTCTAGGTCATGAACCAGTCAGCCTACCGGCATAATCTTCCCTCTTCCATTGAAGAGTCAGTGCTCCATGAAGGCACATTTGCATCATGTTGTATTCGAGTTATTCTACCTTCTTGAGTAGTTGCGATGATATCACACCCTAGACAGATGTTTTCTACATAAAAAACATTGCTAGATACATAAGCCTGTTGCTTCTCTGATTTCACTTCCTGCTCTTCCCTGCATTCGTGCTGCTCAGCCACACTGATCCTGCTGTTCTTGAACTCACTGAACTTGTAACCACCTCTTCACCTTTGCCATCTGCTCATCCCTCTGCCTAGGACTTGCTTCCCTTGCATGCTGATCTTTCATCTCAGTTCTCTGCTCATTTGTCACCTGTCGAAGAGGCCTTTCCTGACCACCCTATGTATAGTAGCATCCCCCTTCCCTGTCACTTTTCCTTTTATTTTTCTTTATAGCATCTATCACTACCTTACAAATTATGTGTACACACATATGCATATACATTTTGTATTATTGCTTGTTTCCACCACTAGAGCAAGGACTCTGTTCACTGCTGTGTCTTCAGTATCTAGAAGGGGCCTGGCACACCTGGCACAGAGTAGACTCTCCATAGATATTTGATGAATGAATAAATATTGGTTATATTAAGTGAATGCTGGGTTGAAGTATTTGAACACTTTTTTTTTTGAGGAAGATTAGCCTTGAGCTAACATCTGCCACCAATCCTCCTCTTTTTGCTGAGGAAGATTGTCCCTGAGCTAATATCTGTGCCAATCTCCCTCTATTTTATGTGTGGGACACCTCCACAGCATGGCTCGATAAGCGATGCATAGGTCTAGGCCCAGGATCCAAACCTGTGAATCCCAGGCTGCTGAAGCGGAGCATGCGAACTTAACTGCTGCACCACTGGGCTAGCCCCTTGAACACTTTTACTTAAGTTTCCAAGGATATAAATCAGTGTTAGGGGAAACTTCCTTCTTGTCTTCCCTCACCTTGGGTTTTCACATCTTTGAATAATAACAACTAATCTAGGTATAAAAGCAGAGTTTGCAAATCACTTGTTCATATGATATTTTATTTAATGTGGAAAACTCTTGTCTCTTATCTAAGACTGACGTTCTTATTCCCATTACTTTTATAAGCAATAAAAGAAACAGATAATGTTAACAAATGACTAGATGTATTTAGAGATTTGTTTTTATTCTACAAAGTTTAGACTTAACTCACTTTTTCATTTTCTGTATTCTTTTTTTGGTGTATAATCAGACCAATTTTTTTACCAATAATCAGACTAGGTTTTTACTATTGATAGAGCCCATGCTTTTCTGACTTGTCCAAAGCGGGAGTTAATCCTATGTAAAGCCTGTCGTGATCTGCCTCTTAATGTAGAATTGACTGCTTTCTCTTTTGGGCTCCTGCTTGCCTGTGTCCTGCAAGTTTGTTATCCCTTTGTGGGTAAGAATTAGATATTATCTCTGTATTCTCACTCCCTTGCACAGTTTTGGCACATAGAAAGGATGTGATAAATCTTTAATGAAAGGAGAAAGATCTGTGTAGACTGACTTAATTGAAATTTTTCTGTATCTCTGGACATTGATATTATTTATTTTTTAAAATCTTGGTATAGGAGTAAACATGGAAGTACTAACTTCATTCCAGAACAATTTTTGGATGACTTCATTGATCTTGTTATCTGGGGCCATGAGCATGAATGTAAAATAGCTCCAGCCAAAAATGAACAACAACTCTTCTATGTATCACAGCCTGGAAGTTCAGTGGTTACTTCTCTTTCCCCAGGAGAAGCTGTAAAGAAGTGAGTAATTGCATTTTCCAAATCAGTTTTTAAAAAATACTTGCTGTAATGATCTGATCATCCCATAGGTTCAAGGTACTGATGATATTGTTATTTATATGGTTGATTTATTTATGAAGATTGATCATTTGATGTACTCTTGCTATTTTCCCAGATTTTAAACCATTTTCAACATGACAGCATCCCAACGGTATTAATGATTTTGCTGATCATTAGGCAAATTCAAGACTAACATTTCTATTCATTAAATTTTGAGTAAGAGTGCTATAAATGATGATTACTAATTTCACAAAGTCCATTTATAAACAAATTCGCCTTCGCCTAAAACCATTTATGAGATTTTTCTGGTTATAAATGCAGTATTATAGCATATCTCATTTCTTTTAATTCTTTGGGGGAATTATGTGATAAAGTAGTTAATAGTGATTAAACCCAATTTTTAGAACAGGTTTTATTTACCCTTTGAATCCACTCAAGTTCTGCTTGTTATGATGATAATAATAGGTTTAAAGAACATGGTAGTAGGGTGCAAGTTTGCTGATTTTTTTTCTTCATAGTTCTGCTGCTAATTTATGTGTGTGTGTACATATATGCACACATATAATACATAGATATGTAATACTATGTACTGTATATACTACTATCATAGTCCTGATAACATTTTATTATACTTATTGTTATGTCTGTCTTCCCTCACCAGACTGTATATTTGTTCAGACAGGAAAAATGATGGATGAGTGGATTTTATTCTGAGGAAGAAGAGTGTTTAACGTTTTTTCCTGTGATATAACATTAAGATTAAATTCCAAAAAATATTTTCAAAGATGTGATTTTATAAAGAAATATTTTGTAGAAACTTAGAGGTATGGTAGTTGTGATGTGCACATTTTCCTGAGGACATTTCCCATGTGACTAGGCTTTCACTTCCCTCCTCATTTCAGACATGTTGGTTTGCTGCATGTTAAAGGAAGGAAGATGAATATGCAGAAGATTCCTCTTTGCACAGTACGGCAGTTTTTTATGGAGGACGTTGTTCTGGCTGCTCATCCAGACATTTTTAACCCAGATAATCCTAAAGTAACCCAAGCCATACAAAACTTCTGTTTGGAGAAGGTAATTCTTCTAAAGGTCGATGAGATCTACTTTAGTTGAGAGATTATTTACATTGAATTAATTACTTCAGTAGAGTTGAGGGAAGTCATTATATTTGTTACACTCTCTCGAAGCCTGTAAGGAACCACTCTTGTTTGATAAATGAGTTTAGTTGTATCGAAGAGCCTCTTTTAAATTTTTTCTGAGGAAGATTCACCCTGAGCTAAGACCTGTTGCCACTCTTCCTCTTTTTGCTTGAGGAAGATTCACCCTAAGCTAACATCTGTGCCAGTCTTCCTCTGTTTTGTATGTGGGTCACTGCCACAGCATGGCTGCCAGTGAATGATGTAGGTCCGCTTCCCGGACCAAACCCGGACCACTGAAGCAGAGTGCACCAAACTCAAGAGTAGGCCACAGGGCCGGCCCCGAATATCTTTTTTTTAAGTCTTCTAGATGGAGGAATGTTATATAGAGAGGAAACTTTAATTAAGCCCCCCTCCTGGTTCCTTTCCTCCTTCTGAAAAACATATACATAATCTTTTGTCTCTTTTTATCCTAATTTGGTGATTTGTTCATTTATTTATGAAAGCAGGCAGTGGCTTTAATTGGGGGATGGGAGGATATTATGGTAGCTGAGGAGAGCCTCGCCTCTCTAATAATCTCCATTAGGCATCCCTTTCACCCTGAAAGCTACCCCAAATAAAATCTTAAAATGTGTTTGCTGTGCACCTTGTAGCTTCAGCATAAGTCCCATACCTCCCCTTCCATGCAGATTCCCACCCCTAAACCTCTGCAGAAATTCTCGAGCCACTACTGAAGTTGTGTGAATGCATTTAATAGTGTGTAAGTTGACAGCTTAATAACATTAATTGCTGACACATATTCAGTTCGTGTTCCATGTTAGCTCTTCTGCTTTGCATTTTTTTCTCAAAAAATCATGAGGTAGTAATAATGATAATAATTACCACCGATATTCATTGACTGCTTATATATTCTGGGCACTGTTGATGGCATTTTGCATTTAATGCACTCAACAATGCTATAGGTAGGTGCATTCTACCATCCACATTTTACAGGAAGAGGAACTGAACCTTAGATAAAGTAGCTTGTCCCATGTCACAGTTTTACTAGCAACACCTAGCTGACATAACTGAAAAGTTTAAGAGTATGCTAGTTTCAAGATGACTAGATCCAGAAACTCATATTAAGATTATAAATTTCTCTGTCTCTATTTTTGTGTCTAGCCCTGTGCCACCCGCTCTGATGGTTTCTCTCTTAAGCTTCACTATAAGGAAGGAGTTTTCACATGGTGGCCCACAGACTTACATTATCCTTACAGCTGAAAGAATCATTTTTTCCAGTTGTTCCAAATAAACCCCAGCACTGAGTTTCACTGGACTGAGGTCATGGACTTGTCCCTAAACTGAATCTCTGAAGCCAGGGAGATGGAAAATTAATTGATTGGCCAGGCCTACGGTAGTCAGGAAGCCCAGGGTCCCTGAACCTTGGCACATTGACGTGTTAGACTGGGTAATTCTTTATTGTGGGAGGCTGTCGTGTGCTTTGTAGGATTTTAACAGTATCTCTCCGACCTCTACCCACTAGATGCCAGTAGTACCCTTCCCCCAATCATGACAATATTTTTGTTTTGAGATTGAAGAAATGCTAGAAAACGCTGAACGGGAACGTCTGGGAAATTCTCGACAGCCAGAGAAACCTCTTATACGACTGCGAGTAAGTCCTATGCATTAAACTGTATTGATTTTCAGAAGATGGTGTTGTACAGTTTACGTGAATTTTTTTTTTTTGGAAAGCAGTAAGGAGAGTACATATAGTAATAAGAGCACTCTCCTTTGGGCAGCAAAAATAATAAAGCTGTCAGGACTTGACGATAGTTTAATTCTGATAGGTTTGGTATTTTTTATTTTCTTCATTTTCTCAATAGTCTTGTTATATTTGAGAGGTTTGCCGAGATCTCTGACTTCATCCTCTACAGCTTCCCCTGCTCTCACTCATTTCAGGTGCCTTGGCCGTCTTGCAGTTCCTCAGACAAAGCAGACACGCTCACCTCTGTCAGGTCTGCTCAAACGTCACCTCAGTGAGGCCCCACCCCGATTAAGATTGCAGCCCCGCCCCTTCTCCAACGCTCCTCATTTCACTTACCCTCCTCTACTTTTTCTTTTCCTTTTTCCTACAACACATTTTCCTAACCTATTATATACAACTTATTTATTTTGGTTATTGTTTGTCCTCAAATACAAAACTGTAAGCTCCACAAAACCATGGAACATTGTGAATTTTGTTAACTGATACATCCAAAGATCCCAGAACAGTTCCGGGCATATAACAAGTGCATGATAAATACATTGAAAGAATTAATGAGTATTTAAGAGCATTAATAAATTCTAAGCAATTGGAGTGTTTCCTATGCCTATAAACCTGGTTATCTTTTCTGTCATGATATAAACAAACAAATAACAACAAACCTCTTTTTTTGCCCCTGTGCCTTTCCGTCTCCTAGCTCCTACCCTGTCTTTTTTATTTTCTTCCAAACGCCTCAGAATACATAGCCTATACTGCTCATCTAACCTTCTGTTCTTCAATCCGTTATAATCAAGGCTCTGACCCACCATCTCAGGTGGAAAAGATGACCTTCAGTTGTCACATCCAGTGGTCTTTTTTCATCTTACTGAATCGCTCTTTGGTGTTCTCTTCTTTGAGTAATATTTGTCCCCATCTATTTCCTAGTTAGCCCTCTTTTCAGTCCAGGCATATGGCTTTCGTGACCACCTATATAGTAACGATTTCTAGATCTTTACCTCCAGCTTAGACCTCTTGGTTGTGGTCCAGGAGTCCCTCTAAAGCCTGGTGTTCAAGGAGTGCGGTCCTCAAACCAGCAGCATTGGCATCACCTGAGAGATTCTTAAAAATGCAGAATCTCGGGCCCCACGTCAGACCCACTGAAGTGCATTTTAACAAGATCCCCGAGAGATTTGTGTGCATATTAAAATTTGAGAAGCCCTGGGATATAGAGCATGAGGGTCAAGCATACAGTCTAGAGCCAGACTGCCTAGGCTTCATCCTCGCTCTGCTACTAGCCATGTGACCTGAGCAACCGGATCTCTTGTCCCTTGGTTTGTACTTCATAGATTTACAAGAGCTACTTGAATTAAGTAGTGCCTGGTGCAGAGTAAATAATCTCGTCCTTTCTCTCTATCCCATTGTCGTTGTAGTTGAGTTCTGGTTATTTCTTACCTGGCCTATAGTGGCAGCTTCCTACCTGTCTCTGCCTCCAGTTTCCCCTCTCCCCACCCCTAGCCTATCCACAATAATGCCAAAATAATCTTTGTAAAGTACAATCTTGCATGCCTTTACTGCTGAAAATGATTTAATGATCTCCTAGCACTTAACACCTTGTATTATGAATAAGTTTAAACTCTTAGATGACATTCAAAGGTCTACATGACCTGGTCTAAATCGACCTCTTTGGCTGCTACCTTCTTTTCCTGCCAGTAATCCTAAACTCCAGTTATATTGGACTAAGAGTTACTGTTCCCTGGGCCCAGTGGGGTTTATTTCGCTCTTTACATCTTTGCCCATGCTGATTCTGCTGCGTGGAATATGCTTCTCCCTTTCTTCCGAAATATCTCCTTCAACACCCACTAAATCCTCCCCTCTTCAAAGAAGCCTTTCTTGACCTCCCTTCAGAGTTGATGCTTCTTCCTTTGTGTCCTCAGTCTACTTTGTTCATACTTCTTAGAGCACTATTCACATTCTGCTTGTGGTTATTTATATACATATTTGTCTTCCCATTGAGCTTGTGAATTTCTTGAAACCATGACTGTGTTTTATTTATGCTTATATTCCTGGCTCTTAGCAGAGCACCTAGCACATTGCGGCCACTAGTAAAGTTTGCTTAATGAACAAATTTTGTGACTCTTAGGAACAGAAAATTACAAATAAAGCTAGGTTGGAGTATAATTGCTAAAATATCTCAAGAGTTTTGGGGGAACCCAAGAGTGTGAGCATTTAGCATTTTCTGTGTTATAGCATGGCAGCTGTAGAGATGTTCTGGGTAACACAAACATTGTTGCTTTGGCGGAACACGTAGGCCTCTTTATCGTGGCAGAAGATCCCATGTTTCTCGTCTGTGTCTGCCTGACACCATTAGAACCAACCAGACTTAAATAGAAAATTGGCATTCTTTTTCCTCAACACAGTAAATTGTTAATTCATTCCTGAAACAAAAGAACAGATATTTTCATGAAAGTAATATTGCAAAAGCACATTGTATCAACTAGAGGACCCTCATTAATTCATTGATTCAGTGAATGAATATTTATCGAGTACCTTCTGTTCTGCATGCTTGGGGACACAGTAACGGTAAAACAGACAAGGTTTTAAACTTGTGGAGTTTATGGGAGGTGGAGATGTGAAGAGAGACAGAATAAACAGATAGCAAATAAGTGAACGAAACATCAGCTGGTGCTACGTGTGATGAAGAGTGTAAATGGGGTGGAGGTTAAGGCATAGTCTGGATAGGGTGATGCGGTACAATGCTACTTCCCAGAGCATATTTTGAGAACAGCTGGTTTAGGAAAATAATTCTCTCTCTTAGAAAGCAGTGTAGTATTTTTCTTTGTAAATGTCTGTGTACCACTATAGACTTCTTTAGAAAGAGCCTGCCTTGAGAGCAATTGTTAGTTCTAAATAGATACTATGTTTGAAGGTAATCATTTCTCAAAGCCCTCAGATTTGATTCTTTTCCTCTGTGGGTTTTTCCCATCATTTATCCTTGTCTAGTATGAAAGCATATCCTTAAGATGACGGACCAATTAATTCATATATATAGTGCTGGCATTTTATTTTGGTGGAGAATTTTCTTTCTGTTTTAAAAGTTTAAAAGTCTGTTTAGAAATTCCACCTCCTTTTCAGATGGTACTCCTGGTGCCTAGACTATTAGTGTTATCATGAGGAGATGTAATCATTCTGACATTGTGGGAATTCTTGCTGTAGCTTGATTCCATTGAACAAAGTGTTTTGCATAAGCTTATAAACCTTCAAAGCTTTGTTTCCTCAGTAGTATAAGTGGTGTAACACCATCATGATCTTTAAAATGAATCATAGAAAATTAATTTATTAACTTAAAAATATTGAGCATAAATATAAAAACTGACATTAGCAAACTGTTTTCCAGCCTTCATAGCTTATTCTGTGTTTCCAGGTGGACTATAGTGGAGGTTTTGAACCTTTCAGTGTTCTTCGCTTTAGTCAGAAGTTTGTGGATCGGGTAGCTAATCCAAAAGATATTATCCATTTTTTCAGGCATAAAGAACAAAAGGAAAACACAGGTAAGCTAGTTATTTTTAAATGTTAAAAAATGCTCTTATAGAGTTTATGTAAATCAATTAATAAAAGAAGTATAAAATAATAATGGAAAATGTTTTAGTATGATTCTTTTTAATATCTTGACAAATAAACTGATAATAATTAAATCTCTTGTCTTCTAAAAATTATAGCAATCATTTTTAAGCCTGTAGATATCAGTAAGAAACAGAAGACTTTCTCTGCAAATGTAGTGTTTCTAAACAGTGCTGCTGAGTAACACAGACTGAGGGATTTATTGCCTATATGTTATTAATATTCAGAGAATATGCTCTCAAATTTCTCGTTCTTAAGTATTCCAGCTTTGGAGTGTACAGTGATTTATGAAATAAGAGGTGTCCCGTAGTTTGATATTTCTGATGATCAGGTAATTAATTTCCAATTAAATTTCGTAAAAACTAGTTGCCTTTATTTTAGTACTTATGAAAACAGGTCATCTGACTGAAATAGTGCTTCTTTGTGAGAAATACTGATCATCTTTAATAGAGAGGCTCTTCCCCTTAGAGCTATTGAGTTAGAGAATTTTCATAGGACACTCTGGCCCTTGTTTACAAGTGAGCCGCTGAGATTTTCAGTAAGCTGGATTTAATGGGCTTCTGTTTTCACTGTCAAATTGTGATCAAAATTGTGCAAGATGTTAATTCAACCTGAAACATCATTCAGCTATTTCAGTAGAGCTCATGGAATACTGTTTTAGGGGAAAAAATCCCTATCAGAGAATCATATTTTTATGCTGTGAATTTTAATTAGTTGCTTATTGATATGGCTTACTTTAATTATTCATCCTTATCAATTCCTTGAAATTTTATGGGTGTAACATTTGTAGGAATACAGAATATAGAATTAGTACTTTATATTACTTGAGTTTCATCCATAGTTTTAATTCCTTTTTTGTTTAAACATAAATAGCTTAATGGAAACAGTGTATGTTTTATTGAAAGCATTTTTCATTGTTTTGGCCAGCTCTGCTACTTAACTGCTTGTGTGTTGTTGTGCAAATTACTTGACCTCTCTGATGTCTATAACATCAGGATCGTACCTATTCTTGCCTCCTAGGATTATCGTGAGGTTTAGATGACATACTGTTTGTAAATGATCTTAATGTAGTGTTTGGTATAGTAAAATGTAGCAGTCATATTTATGAAGTAATGTTAATTCTCCTGTCATGAAATTAACAAAAGATTTCTGTTCACTTGTCCTCACCACTTCGCAGGAGGCACACTGCACTTTGTGCCTCTGCACCCTCTAGGACTTTGCGTGTACTTTTTCCTCTGCCTCAAATATTTTTTCTCATTTGCTTAGTGAATCATATTCATTCTACAAGTCTTGGTTCAAATGACAGCTGCATTTGATATGTGCAAATTATTTTCAGCCTTCTTTGAGAAGAATTAATTTCTTCTCTGTGTGTTATATCTTCTGTTCCACCTTCGTTATAAGCAGTTGCTACCGTGTATTGTAATCATTTGTTCTGATGGGCAAGTATCCTGTCTTTTTATCATTGTGTTTTCAACACCAGGTTCAGCACCTGCCAGACACTTAATTTTCATTTCCCTGACAAAGGTTATCAGCAGAGCAGATACTGGACTTGATGCTTCTTGACTTCTTGTCCAGTATTCTTTTTATTTTTCACTTACTGTTTTTTGAGATGACCATCCTGCTTAGGAATGCAGCTAACGTGCGTTAAGCATACATCCCATTTGTCTCACAGAATATTAAAAAGTGTACTTAGCGGCTGAGATTTAATTAAGTTGATAATTTTTACTGTTTCATCAAGGACATACTTAAGTGAAACTAACTTGTTTCGTTTTGTTTTGAACTGTGAGTACGTGGTGGTGACTAGAGTTCCCAGCCACTGCCTTGACTCATCCCAAGGTGCTGGCAGTGTACCACGATTGCTTTTGTATCATCACTGCAAATGTCAATACAGTGGAAAAGGTAAATGACATCTTAGTATTAGTATGAAAATAGTTTTGACCTTGAGTGCCCCCTGAAAGGGTCTTGGGGATCCCCAGAGGTCTCTGGACCACTCTGTGAGAACAGCTGCAAGAGACATACTACTGGAGATATGGAAAAGAAATACAGACTTTGGGGAAGAGCTGTAGCTATTAGCAAAAATGCCATGTTTTTGTCTCAAAATTTACCATGTTGAGCAAGCTGACAGTTGATAAAGTTTGGCTGTTCCTCCTCCACTGACAGCAATGTGCAATGAGTTTGGGCACCTTCACTTCATGATAGAAGTCACTATTATTTCATGGACTTCTTTTTTCTAGGAGAAGAGATCAACTTTGGGAAGCTCATCACAAAACCTGCAGAAGGAACAACTCTAAGGGTAGAAGACCTTGTGAAACAGTATTTCCAAACCGCAGAGAAGGTAATTTCTTAATTACAGTTCATATTTGGAATAATGGCTGTCTTACAGTAATAGATTTTAATTTAGGATATGTATTAATTGATTAAACAAAATGAATCCTCAGAATGTTTCCATGAAGTAAGTAGGGTAACAATTAATTACATTCGTTTATAGTTATTACACATCAAGAAAAATAAGTGGTCAATTAATGTTAATTATTAATATTGTTTTTATTGTGGCTATTATTGTTGATGTTATTATCTTCTTTCTCTTTTTTTTCAAGATTGGCCCTGAGCTAATATCTGTTGCCAATCTTCCTCTTTTTTTTTTACCCCTCCACAAAGCCCCAGTACATAGTTGTATGTCTTTATAGTTCTTCTATGTGGGATGCCACCACAGCATGGCTTGATGAGTGTTGCTAGGTCCCCGCCCAGGATCTGAACCGGCGAACCCTAGGTGTACCAAAGCAGAGCACGTGAACTTCACCACTACGCTACTGGGCTGGCCCCGATGTTATTATCTTCTTACTTTCTTTTTATTTCTACTGCATAAGTCTGAATCCAAGATTTAATTTTCTTGCATCTGGGTATAATTTCAGAATTAGTTTATCGATTTAGCCATGCAATGGTGAAGCTATTCTTGTTGTCCTGAGTGTATGCCACTATAAGATCCTCTGGTTGTATTATTAGTTTTCTATTGCTGCTGAAACAAATTTCCACAAACTTACTGGTTTACGACAACACAAACTTCTTACCTTGTAGTTCTGTAGTTGAGAAATCTGGTACTGGTCTCACTGGCCCTAAACTGAGATGTTAGCAGGGCTGTGCTTTCAGGAGGCTCTAGGGGGGAATGCATTTCCTTGTCTTTTCCAGCTTCTAGAGGTGCCCGTGTTTCTTGGCTCATGGCCCCATTCTTCCATCTTCAAAGCCAGCACTGTGGTGTCTCTCTGGCCATCTTTCCTCAATTATGTCTCTGATTCCCTTCTTCTGCCTCTCTCTTCCACTTTTAAGGATACTTGTGATTACACCTGGATAGTCCCTGATAATCTCCCAATTTTACAACCAGCTGATTATCAACCTTAGTTCTTCTTTGCCAGGTAACATATTCATAGGTTACAGACATTAGGATCTGGACATCTTTAGGGGGCCATTGTTCTGCCTACCACACTGGTTAACTGAATCTCTCTTAATCATCAGCTGCCATTTCTGGACTCTGTCCCAGCCTCCACATTTTCACCTGTCCTGAACTCTCCTCCCTTTTGTTGTTTTTGCTTTGCTTTCTCTGGCCCTCAATATATATCAGTAGGCTTAATTACTGTCCATTGTTTTGTTTTGTTTTGTTTTTCCCTTCAATAAGTAGATAACTTGTTTGTCTTTTTCACGGGTAACATTATTCTGTAAATTTTCCTTGCTCATATAGAATTATTTTGTAAAGGATACTAATTTCTGCATCCAGTGATTTGCATCTCTTCTTGTAGAATGTACAGCTCTCACTTCTAACAGAAAGGGGAATGGGCGAAGCAGTGCAAGAATTTGTTGACAAGGAAGAGAAAGATGCCATAGAGGAATTAGTGAAATACCAGTTGGAAAAAACACAGCGATTTCTTAAAGAACGTCATATTGATGCTCTAGAAGATAAAATCGATGAAGAGGTGAGTAACTAACTTGGGGTGGATGAGTCTGCTTAGACAGTCTCTCCTTGAGAGTAGCTCTGACTTTCTTTCTGTAAACTACTGTTTAACCTCTCTGAATTGTTTTGTTTTCTCATCTTTAAAATTGAGATAATAAAATGAGGATTAAATTAGAAAATGTCTGATAAGTATCTAGGACAAAGTCATATATTATTGGTAGCCAATAAATGTTAGTTTTGTTCTCCATAGATAGTATCTTCCCTTGAACATCATGAAAGTGCTTTAAATTGAATCTTGTAGTATGAAAATTTCTGCTCATTTCAATTTTTTAGAAGTTTTGATTGAGATTTTGAATTTCATATAGAAAATACATTCTCTCTAAGCGTAAAGCAGTGGAAGAATTACAGAGGAAAAGCTCTTTAGATTTGACTACATAAAAATTTTAAAAAAATTAGAAGGTATTGACATGGAAAAAATTATTTGTGGACAGAACAAAGGCTATCTTCCTAATATAATATTAGAGCGCTTTTATAAATCTTAAGGAAAATACTACACATTTCAATATAATAATGAGTAAAAGACGTGAATAGATGGTTCACAAAAGAAATATAAATGGCTAATAAGCATATGAAAATGATGCATAGCCTAGGATAATGAAAGAACCTCAATTTAAATGTATTTTTTATTTGTCAAATTGGCAACAATTTGAGAAGAATATTTAGTATGCTGCTGGTAGGAGTGTCAAATCTGAACAGCTGCACTGAGAAGCAGTTTGGCCGTGTGTGTCAAGACACGTAAGAGGATTGCCCTTAACTCAGCCCTGAGAAATTTTCCTAAGACAGCAGTGAGATAGAGATTGGTGTATGGAGCAATTCATCTTAGTGTTCCCCACAGTGGGGAAAATTGGAGATGTCTTGGTAAAATAAATGTTAGCACATACATACTGTAGAATACTATATAATCATTAAAAGTTACGCTTTTGAAGCACATGGAAAAATAGAACTTGGAAAAATATTTCCAATGTTAAGTGACAAAAGAACTCCAAAGATGTAAGACTGTACACAATATCCCAATTATATTTATTTTATATTTGAGTATGTGTGCATGCCAAGAATGGAAGAAAACATTTCAGACATTATCAGTGGTTATGTTCAGATAGTGGGATTATAGGGGATCATTTTCTGTATTTTCCGTATTCCCTGTAAGAATCTCTAAGCAGAAGAACAAAACAACATTATTTTAAAAACTCGTTCCCTTTGACTTTGATTTTACTGCTTTTGGTTAGTTAACATAGCTCTTTTAAAGCCTTATGGTGTCAGTGTACAATTAGTCATATTCAATGCCGAGTACTTTTACAGTTAGGGCAGGTAATCGGCACTCTGAAATTATTCACTCTGGGACTGGATGTATTGGGTTCATAAATTTTTAGCAGGGATGGATTTCTCTGAAATAAAACATGAGCATCCTACCTAAATGTAAAATGCAAAACTGTAACTCCTAGGAGATAACATAGGAGAAAACCTACACGACCTTGGGTATGGCAGTGACTTTTTAGATATAACACCAAAAGCATGATCCGTGAAAGAAATAACTGATAAGCTGGGCTTTATTAAAATTAGAAAATGCTCAGCAAAAGACAATGTCAAGAAAATGAGAAGACAAGCCACAGACTTGGAGAAAATATTTGCAAAAGACACATCTGGTAAAGAACTCTTCTCCAAAATATACAAAGAACTCTTAAAACTCAGTAATAAGAAAACAGAGAACCTGATTTAAAAATGGACCAAAGACCGTAACAGACCTCACCAAAGAGGATATACAGGTGGCAAATAAGCATATGAAAAGATGCTGTATGTAGTATGTCAATAGAAATGCAAATTAAAACAACACTGAGATATATCACTACACACCTGTTAGAATGGCCAAAATCTGGAACACTGACAACACCAAATGCTGGTGAGAGTGTGGACAACACAAACTCTCATATAGTGCTGGTAGGAATGCAAAATGGTACAGCCACTTTGGAAGACAGTTTCTCGTAAAACTAAACATACTCTTACAATACGATGCAGCAATCGTGTTCCTTGGTATTTGCTTGAAGGAGGTGAAAACTTGTGTCCACGGACCAGCCCTGTGACCTGGTGGTTAAGTTCGGCATGCTCCACTTCGGCAGCCCAGATTCGGTTCCTGGGTGCAGACCTATACCACTCGGCAGTGGCCATGCTGTGGTGGTGATCCACATACCAAACAGAGGAAGATTGGCACAGATGTTAGCTCAGGACGAATTTTCCTTAGCAAACAAACAAACAAAACACCACATTGCTTCAGTTAATTTAAAAAAAACTAAAAAACCCCATAAAAACTGATGTCCACACAAAAACCTACACATGATTTTTATAGCAGCTTTATTCATAAGTGCCAAAACTTGGAGGCAACCAAGATGTTGTTCAGTAGGTGAATGAATAAGTAAACTGTTAAGTGTCCAGACAAAGAAATATTATTCAGTACTAAAGAGCAATGAGCTGTCAAGCCATGAAAAGACTTGGAGGGACCTTAAATGTATACTACGAGGTGAAAAAGGCCAATCTAAAAAAGCAACAAAATGTATGGTTCCAAGTATGTAACATTCTGGAAAAGGCAAAACTATGGAGACAGTAGAAAGATCAGTGGTTGTCTGATTGGTCATGGGTGGGGGAGGGGGTGAAGAGGCAGGGCACAGAGGACTTTTTGGGCAGTGAAACTCCTCTGTGTGATACTCAGCCTGCTAGACATTTTGACTTGTATGTTTAGTAGACATCCTCAAACTTTTTAACATTCCCTGTCTGAATTGCTGATTCTTAGCCCCTGTTCTGACTGTAGTGCTCTAGTGGAAGCAGCATTCTTTCATTTGCTTAGGCCAGAAACTTTGAAGTCATGCTTCACTCTTCTCTCTCTCATCCTGGCTGTCTATAAATCCTTTTAGCTCTACCTTCAGAATATATACAGAATGTGACTACTGCTCTCCACCTTTATCACTTCCAATGGTCCAGAGCATCGCCGTTTCTCACCTGGATTATTCTAATAGCCTCCAAACTGGTCTCCCTGTTCTACCCAGGCTCTTCCTCCACCCCCTATTCTGTCCTCAGTTCAGCTGTCAGTGATCGTCACTGTACAGATGAAGTCACTCCTGCCTAAAAAAAAAAGTCCTCACAGTTATTTACAAGGCCTTATTCAGTCTGGCTTTCTGTTACTTCTTTGGCTTCATATCTGCTCCAGCCACAGCAACGTCCTTGCTGTTTCTTAAACATACTGGGCAATGCCTTTGCACGTATTCTTTCCTTTGATTGGAATGATTTTCCCCAGTTGTTTGCAAGATTCATCCCCTTCCTTTTAAAATCTTTGCTCATATATTACCCTCTCAGTGAGGCCTCTCATGATCATCCTATTCAGATGTAACCTCTCTGCAGCGCTCCAGTCCCTTTTCCTGCTTTGTTTTTCTCTGAGCACTTACCACCTTTTGCAAAGGTTTCGCAGGTCCAGATATTTAGGACCCACAAAACTCCACTGAGCATACTCACTTAAGGTTTTTATTTAAATGCAAAGGATAAAGTACAGAAGAAAAAGAGGATAGGCAGGCATGAGGGATCTGAGAGACACCAGGCATAAGCTTCCCATGTCCTTATTGTGCACAGTGTACCCCGGATTGAACACTAACATCTGTGAAGAAGTTCCCAGGGGGTCTTTTATGCCCCTCTGCTGACATAATCAAGCCATGCTGGCTAACTGGTTGTGCAGGTTGAAAACCATCAGTAAATAAACTGGCCCTGGGAATGCCAGAGGCTTCTCAGAGATAAGGATAGAACTGTCCTATCTGTAGGTTAACTACCTGTAAATTAGCTTTCCCAACTGTAAATTTCCTAGCTGTAAATTAACTTGATCCTACATGCCTTCTAAAACACAATGTAACTTCTTATTTTGTTTATTGACTACCCTTCCTTACACACACGCACACAGACACACACACTCTCACAGATTGTAAGCTCCATGAGGGCAGAATTGTTGATTATTTTGTTCATTGTTGTAATTCTTACAGTAGTGCTTGGTGCATAGTAGGCGCTCACTAAATATATAGTTATCAAATATACTAAATATATAGTTGTCAAACATCAAATAAATGCAGCTTATCTCTAACTATGTAACTATATTATAAGAGCCTTGTGAGCCAGAACCAGTGAAAAAGGAATCTCTAGTATTCTTCATCGTACCAGGACCATGGTTCGCAAACAGCAAACATTCAGTAGTTGACTGTTGATAAAATGGATCTGCGGAAGCCCACCCACCTTGAATAGCATTTCAGAGGGCCTGCTGGACGGCTTGCAGCAGGTGCACAGAATGATGTGAGCAATGTAATAAATAATTCAAACCTCTTCAAAGAGAGATGTTTGTTTTTAACTATTTTACTGAAGGATAACACCCATGGGTTATTGGGATCTTTTCCTCTGCAGTCTGACAGACTATTTTTCAGTGACATGGAACATTCTGGCAGCAGGTGGTGTAATTTTGCCTAGGGCCAATTCTTTTTAGAGTACATTTCTGAAATTTTAATGTAAGTGACTGGGAAAATATGATTTCTTTAATCGGTCTTTTGTGAGACAAACCTATACTTAAATTTCGAAGTTTTATGCTGTAATGGAAAGCATCTGTTAATTGTAGCCCATTATTTTACATTTACATAACAGGAATAAGCAACATGTTTGTGATTTATTCTGTTATAATCCAGGTGCGTCGCTTCAGAGAGAGCAGACAAAAAAATACTAATGAAGAAGATGATGAAGTTCGAGAGGTAATTTTTCTGCTGTGAATTTCTATGCTTCTCTGTCAGTTTGTTAAATTAGAATAACTAGTAAGTTCATTTCGAGTAGTCCATCCACAGGACCTAGGTTTGTTGGATAGGGCTGAGGAGGGGTTGGCTAAGGATGGCTGCCTTTGACTTATTCCAGCTTAGCCTACAAAAATTCTGCTTGCCAATATTCTCTTTTTTAAACCCTTTGCTCTTGCCTAAAACTGATTTAATTGTGTGTTTGTTGTAGGGTATGGGGTTGGGGGCTAGCGTATACAACAAGAGCCCTTATTAGTCAAAATAATTGCTAGTTATTATCAGGGCATCTTATCGGTATAAGATAAAATCTCACCCTACTGAGCTGATATTATTTTGGGCAAAAAAGAAGAAACTTAGTGTTTTGGTGAGCAGTTATCATAGGTAAATATACAGTGTCCCCTGGCCTTTCTCAAGGGTTGAAATCAGCTTGATCACCATTATCACTGTCTTCTCCGTCTCTTTGCAGTTTAGGAACTTGAAGTTAGTAACTGTTTACTTAAATTTTGGGCCTCCCTCTGGTGCTTGGTGAATCAGTGATTGAAGTATATATTCCTACTTTCTAATTGTCCTAGTGTTGTATGACTGCTATTTAGAGTTTAAAAGTTATTTTATAAATGATTTACTGTTAGGATTTTGTCTTGATTGCTTTCATTCAGCATTTTTTATAATACCTGTTATAGATAGCCATTCGGCTTTATATTGGGAATACAGATATGAAAAAGGTATAGTCTGTGTCTACCAGAGAGTCTGAATTTAGTAGGTGAGACAGACATATGTAGAAAGAAAATATTAAATCATGTGATCTGAAGTTTCACCCTCACTGAATTTCACCCTCACTGTCCTACTAGTCTGTTTTCATTTCCTAAATATTTTGTAGCTGACAGTGGTGAATTAGAAAGAGTTGAAGCACTCGAAACATCTCTCAAGTTAACTTTTACTAGTCCCACTATTTTCTCTGCAACAAGAAGAAAGGAATTAATGGGAGCCCACCCCTCCCCTTTTAAGTAAGGTTTCTTGCCTTGTTTTAAGCACACTCCTTAGGTAGAAGTCAGTACCTGAGACAGTAAGAAGGAGAAGGAGAAGGACCCTGCTTACAGAGATGGCGACTCTCAATTTACTTTTGTTCACGCCTGAGCCCTTCCGAAGGAATCCCTATTTCGCAGTTCACCTACTGATGACTACTAGGCAACTCCACAGCCTTTCATGTTGAGCAGTTTTAGTTTTAGACCCTGACGTAGGAAAAATCAGTCATCAAATAATTCTTCTTTACCATCTCTGGAGGCCATGAGACAGACTCTGAGCCTTTTTAAAAAAATTTAAAAAAAAATCCCGAGTCTAAATCTGATATACTTCATCATCTGACCTTCCATCCTTGGTATTTAGGATTTTACAGTGATCCGATGCCACTTTTCTGGAATTTTAAGGAATAAAAAAGTGCATTTTTGGTGTTATTACAAAAGTTTGGTGTTCTGTAACTCTCCCTTCTCCAAATTGTGTCCCAGTTCATTAGAGTATGTAGAAGTATGAACAGTGTAGTAACTCAGTTCATAACCTTGTCTTAAAAGAATATGCTAGGATAATCTTCTAAAAATTGAGTTGTAAGTTTCACAAATATCTTTTCCTTTTACTACTTACTCTCCATGGAGTAAGATAGGAAAATTTGCAATATAAACTAACATTACTAGCAATGGTGCCAATATTGACAGCAGTTTTTTCCCATACTGTGCCTTTCATTAATAGTCATTGATTTCATTAATAATAATTGATTATAGAACTAAAAGCTACCACCATCCACTAAATTTCAAAGAACATTCCCAACATCAAAGTCATTCTCCTAAATAAATGTATCGGAAAAAACAGAACTGATTACCTACTTGGCTTTATTCATTACTGTTTTCAAGGGGGAAAGGGAAATGGGAGTTATTGAATTTTTGCTGCGTGCCTTACTTACACTCTCTCAGTTTCCGTTTTACAAGTGAGGAGACTGAGACCAGACTGAAGGCCACATGATAGGGCTGGAATTTGAACCTCACAATTTCTACCTCAAGTGTAGACTTTTCCACCACACTGTGTCCTATCAGAACTTTATATTATAATAACATTAATACAAAGCACGGCCAATGAATGGCTAAAAATTTAAAACTTCTAAAACTGTCATGCAGCACATCAAGATCACTGTTCATAATAAGCATAGATGCAGCTACTGTGCCATTTACAAGATGATTTTTTGGAATCTAAGAGGAGGAAGATATAGATTCGGGATCCCTTACCACATTTATTCCATTTGTGTTCATCTTACAGAGTGACCTTAAAGTAGAAAAGACAGTTTGCCAAATGGCAGGAGCGAATGCTTGAAAGAAATGATTCCTGGTTCCTGGATTATTTGGCTTAAACTTGATTAACGCTTTCAATTTACCAGATCACAGAAATATTTTTTTACAGTGGTTCCTATATGTTTGAAGCCACTAACCTCATTACTGTTTTAAAGTGTGAAAATTTACTTCAAGGAAGGTAGGAGGGGACGTGACAAACTTCACATGGGAATTTTTAAGAGGAAAGAACTTTTGGGTTTATATTTTCAGCTGTATTTTAAAACTGTAGCAAGTAATCAGGGCTCCTTAGGTAATTTGTCAGCATGCCATAGAGTGTTGTAAATTTTTTCATTCTTAGCACACTATTTAGAACTTGACTAATGAGAAGAATTTAGAACTGAGACTTTCCCAAGCTGTAATTCACAGCTTTGCAGAATCATTTAGCTCAGAATATGCATCCTAGTACCCTGCTCATTATTTAAACAAACAGGCAGACCAAAGCATTAGCTCTTCCATTTGGAGAAAAAACATGCTTCACCATCTCTTGTTCACATAGAAACTCTCAAGTATTTTCTTTAATTATAAGTTCACATTTAAGTAAAAGGCCGAACAGTAAATATTTTAGACTTTGCAGACCATATATGGTCTCTGTCACATATTCTTCTTCTTTTTTTTTTTTTTAACAATCCTTTAAAAACGCAAAAACTATTCTTAGTCTATTCTCACAGTTCATAGTTTATCTGGCCTCTGATCTCTTATGTTCTATCTGAATTTGAGGCAAGGTTGATATCCTATTTCAAACTGTAATACTACGTACTATCAGCAGAGTGAAAAGGCACCCCACAGCATAGGAAAAAATATTTGCAAGTCGTATATCTGATAAAGGATTAATATCTAGAATATATAAAGGACTCCTAAGATTCAGCAACAACAAAACAATTTAAAAAGGACAAATGACTTCAATAGACATTTCTCCAAAGTAGATATACAAGTGACCAATAAGTACATGAAAAGATGCTGAACATCACTAATCATTAGAAGAATGCTAATCAAAACCATGAGATCCTACATCACACCCTTAGTATTGCTGTTAGCCGAAAACTAGAAAATAACAAGAATGGGCAAGAATATGAAGTTGGAACTCTGGTGCATTGCTGGTGGGAATATAAAAACTGCTGTGGAAAACAGTTCCTCAAATAATTAATCATAGAATTACCATATGATGTAGCAATTCCACTTCTATGTATTTGCTCAAAAGAATTGAAAGCAGGGACTCAAACGCATTTGTATGCAAGTGTTCATAACATTATTCACAGTAGCCAACAGGTAGTAACAGTCCAAACCCCATCAAAAGATGAGTGGGTAAATAAAATGTGGTATGTCCAGTGGAATATTATTTAGACTTAAGAGGAATGAAATTCTGATACATACTGCAACATGGATGAACCTTGAAAACATTATACTAAGTGAAGAAAGTCAGACGCAAAAAGGACAAATATGGTATGATTCCTGTTATATGAGATGCGTAAGGTAGTCAAATTCATACAGACGGAAAGAAGAATAGTGCTTCCCAGGAGGTTGAGGGGGTTAGGGAATGGGGGATTGTTTAATGGGTACGGAGTGTCAGTTTGGGATGATGGAAGAGTTGTGGAGATTGATGATAGCAACGCTTGCACACAACAGTGTGAGTGTGCTCAATGCCACTGAACTGCACACTTAAAAATGGTTAAAATGGTAAGTTTTTTGTTATGCATATTTCACCACAATGAAAGAGAGTGTAATACCAAGATAGTATGTTTTCAAATCTCACAAAAATTATATGGAAGCGTCGTCTTGCCCTTGGCTCTAGATCTGTACTGTACTCAGAATGGCTCTACATTTACACTCATGAGGTCTTAGAAATAACATACTTCCAAGATATCCGTAAACTCCAATGTCTGTTACACAGAAAAGGAGGAGCTAAAATTATATTTGATTGTAATGTTTGAGATGAAAAACTGAAGATATATTTAGACAAAAGTAAAGTATAAAATTTGGAAATGATGGTAATTCTTTCCAAGAAATAATAATCATAAAAAGGCATCTGAATTTTAAATTTTGCTGGATTCTGCCAGATGGCTCCAAAGGTGTTACACCAGAGTACCTTCCAACCAATAGTATTTGGCTATGCTTATTTCCCCACATCCTTGTCATCATGATGTATTACTACATCTTTTGATCTCTGTAAATCTAAGATGTGAGAAATTATTTCTGAGTTGTTTTTAATTTGTACTGCTTTTATTGCCAGTGAGTCTGAGAAATTTTCATGTTTATAAATAATGTTTATGTGAAACACCTGGTCATGTTCTTTGCCCAATTTTTTTTTCCACTGGGGCATTGGTCTTTCTCTGATTGATTTGTATGAGTACTGACGTGAAAGTGAGTGCAGGCTGGATGTGTGTGTAGCATATTGAGGGTTTTTGTCATGTAAAAGAAGTATCCACCTCTTCCTGAGGGTTTTTCTGTTTGTTTAAATCCAGAATGGGTGATGAATTAAGTGCCTATTTGGCATCTTTGGAGATAAGCATGTGGAGTTTTTCTTTCTGTATTCTGTGAATATGGTGAATTATATTAATACATATCCTATTACTGACCCATCCTTGGTCTCGCTTTGTGAACCCTCTTGTAATGGGTATACTAGTCTGTCCATATTCTCCTAGATTCTCTTTGTCTGCTTTAATATTCATAAGTAAGATACTGTAATTTTCTTTTTTGTGCATGCAATCTTTGCCAGTTTTCAGTACCATGTTATGCTGGCTTTATAAAAAGAAATTGGAAACTTTCTTTCTTTTGCTGTGGTACTATTGAAATGGTAGTAGAATTATCTGTTCTTTGAAGATTTGGTAGAATTTAATGTGAAACTTTCTGATTGTGGTCCTTTTTTGATTGTGGTTTCTTTTCATTAAAAGAACTAATAATTTTCTCAAAATTTTCTTTGATAATTAGCCTTTTGTGACTGTCTCTCTTTTCTTGGCTCAGTTTAGGTCATTTATTTTCTAAATTACTTAGAAGTGAGCAGAGTATTTTGTCATGATTCTTTTAATTTTCCTTGGATCTTTTTTCCCCTCCATTCTCATTTCTTTGCTTTAATAATTTAATTCATTGCTTTAATTGTTTCATATGTTGTGATATGGAGTATTTTTACTGCCATTATTTTCTAAATATTCTACAATTTTAGTTTTGTTTTGCAGTTTGGAGTCAGGGTTTTTGTTTTATTATTATTAATTTCTAATTTTATTGCAGGGTGATTAAGCAGTATGATAATACTATAATTTATTGATATTTTTCTTAGTACCCCATTATATATCAGTTAAAACGTTTCATGGGGTCTTGAAAAGAAGTATTTATTTTCAGAGTATAGAGTTCGACATGTATCAATTAGATCTATCTTATTCATTATGTAATTTAGGTCTCCTTTTTTTCTTTTAAATATACTTTAAAAACAAACGTACAGCTAGTTCTCGTTATTTGTGGTGGTTATGTTCCATAAAGTCACCATAAACACTAAATTAGTGAGTACCGAACCATCGCTCCTAGGGGAAATACAGGGTTAGGTTCTTGCCAGCCACTTGTTACAACATTTTTGTCAACCGATCAGTACATAACCCTTTTCATGTGTGTTTCTTTTTAAAGACTCCTTATTTAACATACATTGTTGGTTCATTAACATTGGACTCATGGCCCACAGCCTTATAACTCAGGGCTGAGTACAGGTATCTAACACAGGTGTTTCCTCCGTAAGGCACATCACAGCCTTCTTGCACTTAGGAACCAGACAACACTTCAGCAGTACACTGGGGAGGCATTTTAAAAGTAAAGTCACCGATCAGAAGCACAAAATTGTGAAAAATGTGACACTAAAAATATACTATGAAAAGGACACTTGTTTAAAGTGCAAGAGCTGAAACAAGAATGCTGAGTGTCTCGTTGTTCGACCTCATCTAGGAATGTGTGTGTCAGGTGACTCAGAATTTTCACTGCTTTGCACACGTCTACAAATGACCACGAAAGTGTCAAAAGTATCGTTTTGGGGGGGTTACAAATAAACTTTGGCAACCAGGTAAATTTGCAATATAGAATCTGAGAATAATGAGGATTGACCGTACTTAATGTGGGACATGAAAGAGGAATTGAAATCTTTTTTCTACTATTTTTTGATTATATTTTTTGTTATATTCCCTAGAGTTTTTTCATTTGTGTTGTAATGCCACGTGGAGCCCTCCATGGAGTGATTTAGCTGGTATTTCACTTCAGCTAAGATCATCATCGTGACGCTGGATTACCTCCCACCTCCCACCACCCCCTTCACTCCTACTTCTACCCTGCCTGCTTTGTTCTCGTCTCCTCATTTAGCCCTGTCTCTCCTTATTTCATGGCATCACGGAGAGCTTAGAAATGCCCTAACCGTCTATTCTTAAAGACTCCTTATTTAATATACATGGTTGATTCATTGACATTGAACTCAGATCCAGGACTTGTCATTCCAAGCAAGAGAGACTGTTGTCTTGGCCTCCTGGGATACATAGATCAATTCTGGAGAGCTCTACACCGCCTGACACTCTTCTCAACCTTCTCCCTTAGGTCAAATCTTCGATATATCCGTTAACTCTTCTTCATAGGTTTTGTGTTTTGGGGTTAGAGCTATTTTCTAATTTTATTGAAAACGTATTGGGTTTTATTTTTGTCCTCCTTGTTACATTTTGATTGGTTTAAGGGCAGAAATCAGGGCAGCATTGCTTTTATTCTGTTTTTATTCAGAAAATCTACATTTATTTTAGAGTTAGAACTTTTTGTTGTCTCAAACTTGTCCTTTCTAGACAGTTTCTTATCAAATTAAAATTTGAGGTATATTCTTGGTCCTAAGGTTTTTATTCTTTTCCAGGCCTTCAAAGATGTATTCTACTTAATTCTTTTTATCATGTATCTGTAAGAGATTGCTCATGTGTTTCTGATTGTAAAAGTAATGTTTTAGAAAAAATATATATATTGTAGAAAATTTGTAGTATTCAAGAATAAAGAAGAAAACAAAAGCACCCCCAAATTTCGTCACTCAGAGATAACAGCAATTTCTTGTAAGTTTTTTCTCGGGATTTATTAAGAGGTCACTGGACAAAGTAGCTCAAATGATGACAGTCTCTTACAAACGGTGGTGCTGGATTAGGGGCACTTGCCAACATTCCTCCCAGTTCTGAAAGCTCTGATACTGTGAAATTTTCTCTCTTGGTAAACCTGTTCCAAAGGTCTCCTTTTACAGGTAGTATTGTAAATTGCTCTGACAAATCATAGGCACTGAATTTGATTGATGGGGGAGGAGGGATGTTCTGTTTTACATTTTTGTAGCATGATTAATGATTAATGAAAAGTAATTGTATAGACAGTTTGGCGATATTAAATGTTCATCTGAATGACCAGATTAATGCCTTTTAGGATGCTGCATTATCTACTAATGTGTGCTTTCTCCTTGTTCTCCCCCTCAGGCCATGACTAGGGCCAGAGCCCTCAGATCTCAGGCAGAGGACCTTGCTTCCGGCTTTAGTGCCGATGACCTTATGAGTATAGATTTGGCAGAACAGATGGCTGATGACTCTGATGATAGCGTCGCAGCAGCAGCCAACAAAGGAAGAGGCCGAGGAAGAGGCCGGAGAGGAGGAAGAGGCCAGAATTCAGCATCGAGAGGAGGGTCTCAGAGAGGAAGAGGTTAGCCCTGAGGATAGTCTATTGCACACATTCAGACTTGGCAGTTGAGTGGGAAATATGGAATTGTATTCCTGTTGTCAGAATTCAATTACGCAGTCCTTTAAATCTTTATTTTTATAGTGCATAAAGTCAGTCTTTAATGTAGTTCTCACATGTACGTTTCACTGAAATTAATTTTGAATAGCCACATGCACATAGGGTTTTAATTGCTTTTAACATTTATTTTATAAAGACCTTCACTATATTTCTTACACGGTACCTTTTGGGTGCATTTATTGTCATATTTGCTCTCGTGTGTACACAGTAATAGTGAGGCAAATATGAGCTGTTAGGGAAGATGGCTTGTTAATGGCCATTGGCAGCAGGAAGGAAACTCTAGATCTTAAAAATTATTTTTTGTTGCTTTAATTAGATACAAATGCTCTTATAAAGTGGCTTCATAAAATTTGTCTTGAAAGGAAAATTACCCTAAAATAATTTGATTTCTTTAAAAAAATCATTAATGTTAATTGCCATCACTGTATTTAATGTGACTATTTTCATTGAATAGTTCAAACAATGGAAGGTGTTCATCCAGTGACTTCCTGGTGGATTATAAAAACCCATTCCTAGGAGTATTTTTTAATTGTTTTTATTAAATATTTATCCATAGGAATTTTAAGGTGGTAAAATGGATAATACTTCAGTTAAAAATCTTCAGGAAGACAAATTCTTATCTAGTGATAGTTATTTTCATTATCCTTACATTTACAAAATTTTTCCTTAAATTTTAATTGGCAAATATGAACCAAATATGGCCTAAGTATAGTCTCTGAAAATTGATTGATTAGACTCTTGCTGCTGCTTCTCAGCTTTTACACATAAACTATGTTTTGACATAACTGTATTTAGATTTCATTTTGATGGTGTTTTAAAACAACTTTAGCTACTGATGAGATTGTATATTGACTGCCTATTATTCTAACATCAGGCACCAGTTTAGAGACTTCTACTCGAAGCAGAACTTCAAAGGCCTCTATGCCAACATCAAGAAATATGTCTATTTTAGATGGTGAGTATAGAATGCAAATGATTATCTAGCAGTTATTTATAAATTCCAACTTAGGAAGACCTAGGATACCCTGTTAATAAAACTCACTGGTTTGTGTGTCCATCACTGGGGAGTTAAAAGGATTAATAGGACCAAAAAGTAAATTATTCTGTAAAAGATCTTTGCCGTATGTTGGAGCTATTGAAGAGGGCGAGCCTTAAAAATTATGTTTTATAATTCCTTACTGTTAGACAAATTTGATTATTTCCTTTTTATAGAGGAATCACTAAGATATAGAAAAGTGGGACAATTGATCAGTGTAATCACCAATAATCAAGGGAGAAGGAACTGTTTCTTAATGTATTGTTTACTTTCTTTCCTTGTGCTGCTTTTGTCCATCTATACTGTAGTATGGAGAACTCATGTGAGCTGTATTTAAGAGAAGTGATGGTTAAGATTCTTTGAATTAACTGTGTATGTGTTGTGATCTAAAAATTGGCCTTAAACTAAGGAACCTATTTTTATAAACTATTTTTAATAGTAATTTTTTAAAAGTTTAATAAAATATCTTTAATACTGTAGTTTATGAGACCAGCCTCAGTTGTTAGTCAAATTTATGCAAATGTTTGTTAAAATAGGTGGATCTTTTTTCTACCCAGCATTCAGAATATATCCATATGTATTTTATTTATACTATCTGATTATTTGAGGTTAATTATTGACTCACTTTTATAGCTAGGATTAATTTTTGACAGATTTGAGAGCTGGACTAAATCTTGCAAGATTTTATTTATCAAGGGTAAATATAAACTGTATTTATGTCCAAAAGAACAGCTGCACAAAAAGAGTTGTGAGAGGTATGAACAGTAGCAGTAACTCAAGTAAAAAAGAGTTAGATCGATAAGAGTTGTGCAGGTCGACCTAACTGTCCAAATCTAGTGGTGTGTTAAGCTATATTAATAGAAGTAACGCATCTCGACAGCAAGGAAGTTCTCCCTCTGTCCTGAATTGGATGCTTCACACCAAGAATACTGTGCTCATCTTTGGAAGTATATTTCAAGAAGAATATCTGCTATATATGATCTTTCAGAAGAGAAACCATACAGTATAAAAAGTGGTAGAAGGAACTTGGGATATTTAACCTGAGAAAGTCAGGTCTTTACATAAATTAAATTCCATCATGTGAAAGATTGAATAGATTTGATTTGTATAATCCCGAATGCATGGTTTTAAATCTGTTTTGAGTTATGGATTCTTAAGAATCTGATGGAAGCTATGTGTCCTCTCCTTAAATAAGTACTCATATGTAATTGTGCTCAATTTCAAAGGGTTCAAGGACCCCTATGAAGCCCATCCTCCAGATTAAGAACTACTAATCCAATGAGGATAGATGGGAAAAGCTAGAAGCATAAGATTTAAGTGTATTATCTAGTAGAATGGATCTAGAAGACTTCAGAACAACTTTGCCTACTCCCTCCTTTTATAGGTGAATAACTGAGCTAAGCAATTTGCCCTAGGTTAATACAACCCTAATAGTACTAATAATAGCTAATATTTATGAAACAGTTCACTGCACACCTCTTAACAGCTCTGTGGCATAGATACTTAAATTATCCCTGTTGTACAGAAAAGGGAACTGAGGCTTTGAAAAGACAGGCAACTTACTCAAAGTCTCACAACTAGTAAATTATAGAGCTGGGGTCCATCCCACATTCTCTGGACTCCAGAACCAGTAGTTAACCTCTGTGCTTGTTTCCAGATCAATGTAACATTAGAGACGTAGCTACTGTTTCTCAGTAGAGGAGTCTTTGCATTATACAGAGTAATCTATCTAATTAATATACAGAGGGAGTAAGCTGCCTCAGAAGGAAGTGAGTTGTGACTCCGTCAGAAGTAGTTTTCAACATTTATTGGATGACAACTGACACTGGAGAAAGGATAAAAACATCAAGTCCATTAAATGACTCAAGGAATCTTCTTATCAAAAATTCTGCTGCTATATTTTCACCCAAGGATTATTCCGTACTCTAGGAGAGCCAGCTGAGATCCTTATCTTTTAACTCCAGAAGCATGTTGACTTTGTTGCCATTTGGGAAATGGCATCCATAAAGATGTTGTTCCATTCTTGGCAGGTCTAAGATAAAAGTAGAGAAGGAGAAAGAGAAAAGGCAGCTTGGTAAAGGACCTAGGCTGAGTCCAACATGTAAACACTTTGTGACTTTGGACAAGTCATTCTCTCTCCTAGTTCATTTACATGTACATTAGGAATAATAATTCCTGCCATATTGGGCTATTCTGAAGGTTAAAAAGCAAAAAACCTGGGACATAGTAGTATTTATGAATAGTACCACTATAAAAAAGAGAAAACAGAGGGAGTTAGAAAAGGAGAGTGAGTAAAATATGAACACATCCGTGTTAAACCACCAAAAGTTGGTTAGCATGCAACGACAGAGGCATAGATGTTATAAGTTACCCGCCTTTACCTTAGCCAAATTGCCTTTTTTCATCATGGCTTAAGGGTTTTATGTGAAACTTTCCTTGACACCAGTGGGCAGAATTAATCTCCGGAAGTGAGTCTTCAGGTTTCTGTTGTTAAGAAATCAGCTTTTAGTTAAGCTTGTTGCTTTTTTTTTTTTTAAAGCAGACTATTTTCCTCCAGCTGACTGTCTTTGGTGTTCTGCAGTTTCACTGTGATGCATGTAGATATGGGATTCTTTTTTATCTTGCTTAGGATTTATTGGGCTTCATGACACTAAGTCGATGTCTTTCATCATTTCTAGAAAATCCGTAGCTGTTATCCCTTCAGATATTCCCTCTATGTTGTTCTTTTTCTCCTCCTTTCTGGGCTTCAATTAAATAAATGTATGACCTTTTCAATCTGTCCTCCCGTAATTCTTAACCTCTCTTGTATTGTCTGTTGTTTCATCTTGTGCTACATTCTGAATAATTATTTCTGCTCAGTCTTCCAGTTCACTCATCTGTTCTTAAAACTGTCCATTGAATTTTCAATTTTCATTGTTTTTTGGGGGGAGGTTTGAAATTCTATTTGATTCTTTTAAAATATGCTATGTCACTTTTAATAGTTTTTAAAAATTCCCTACAGATATTTTTAAGCTTGTTTTTAATTTTTTGTGTATGCATAGTAAGGGTTTTTTTTTTTTGTATTCTCTGTCTAATAACCCAGTGTCTGAATGTCTTTGATGACCTCTTTCTGTTGTCTGTTTCTGACGGTTCTCATTTATGGTGACTTGTTTCCTTGCACGCTTTTCTATTGTCCCAAAAGAATTATCAGTGGGAATAATTGGAGACGTTGGATGAAGATGTCTTCCTCCAGAGAAGATTCATATTTATTTCTCCAGGCTTCTGGGGCACCACAAGTCTTAGACCACTTTAAGCTAAATTTAAATTTATAACTTGAGGACCAGCCAGGTGATATGTACTTGTGAAATCCTGTTTATGTCTGCTTCTCTCCTTAACCATTGGGGTCCCAGTTTAAGGAAGGGAGGAAATGCATTAGGCTCTCCACCTTGGGCAGGCCTTGAGCTGTGGCAGCCCTCTCCCTCCCCAACAGAACTGTCAAAACCAGTGTTAACATTTGCCCAGATCAGCAGGTGTCCTCAGGGAAAGGGACTCTGCTGTGCTAGTCTCTCTGAGTTCTAGCTTTTCTTCAGTTTTGGCCTGTTAATTCTTCACTATACTCAGCTCTTCAGTGCCATTAAGAATTTTTTTTCAATTTTTGATGTAGCAATTTGGATTGTTTTCAGCAGAAGTGTTTGTCTGAATAACCTAGCCAACAATGAACAGATACAGAGGTTTCTCTTCATTTTCTTTATTTAAAACTCCTATGGGACTGCCACCTTTACAGCTAGAACTCTGTCTCACAGAAGTTTTGTGAGCATTTTCTCACTTTCTAATGTCAGCTCATTTTAGAACCACTGTGCCAATGAAACTTTCAAAGATATTCTTTGATGACTCTTGCTCTGTTACTTAATTGATATTGTGGAATAAAGCTGCTGTTTGTGTAGAGAAGACAAGAGATCAGTTATAGTGCTTTAAAATGTTCACAAATTGGCATGACTAATCATTTTTTTAAGTAATAATATTCATTTGTAAGAAGAGGCTATGTAAGTAAACCAAATTACTATGAAACTCAAGATTTCCTGAATTACTTTCCAGGCAAAAATCTTACTGTGCCTTTTGTAGCGATAGTTGTGACTAAGAACGTGGGCTCTCGAGTCACACCTATGTGGTCGGCCAGCCCTTCAACTGCCAGCTCGGTGCCCTTGCACTAAAAGTACCCAGGAACAGAGTTTGCATTGTTTTGTTCATTGTCATATCCACATTGCCTGGCACATAGCAGGTGCTCATTAAATACTTGAGAATGATTGAATGAAAATCACTTAGAGATTGTATGGTGTAAAGATTAAGAGCATGGTTCTAAAGTCAGAAGGACCTTGGTTTGAATTCCGACTCCTTCCTTTGCTAGTTGTACGTCTTCCAGCAGATTAGTTGAGCATTCCATCTCTGAGCTGCAGTGTCCTCACCTGTAAGATGGGGTGATGACAGCGTCCACCTCATTGGGTTGTTTTGAGGATTATTGAGAAAATACATTGAAATACCTGGCACAGTATCTATGCATATGAAGTCCCCAGGAAGTGTAAACTATTATTATTCTATAAGCTTCAGGTCCCTGAAATTGGCAGTGTAGTACTGACTTCACAGCGTAATTATAATTATTAAATGAATTTTTGCATATGCATTACTGACTACAGCATTTTGTAAGAATCCAATAAGTGATGGTTGCTGTTAGTGTTAGTGGCAATATTTACAATAAACTTATGAAAATGGATGTTTTATAAATTAGTGTCAATTTATCTTTTACATAATTGATTTGGTCTAATGGTTTTACAATTTAACTGATTACCTCCAACATTGGGCCTTTTTTTGAAAAATGAAATTGACTTTTGTAATGCATATGAGTAAACTATTTTTATCAGGTTAGATTTGGTGTTTTTAAGTCTCTGACTAAACAACCATGGGGTATTAACTATAGTTACCATAACTTTAGGACAAAAGCAACTTTGTAACTTGTAGATTCCTATTATAAGTGGAGGAATGAAGAGATAAAGGTCAAATCCTATTATAACAAGCTCCATGGAATATAAAGATTTGTTATTGTACTGGAATTTTATTGAGAAAGATAGATATTACACTTAAAGCCAGCAGTGGTTATAAATAAGAGTTGACAGCCTAGATTTTTCCATTGAAGTTTGTCTGCAGAGGACGATGACTAAGCGAATAAAAGACACCTCTTGGAGCCATTGCTTTGCATTTAATTTACCGCTGTGGCTGCTGCTGCCACTACGACATTGACTCCTACTACTGGCTACATTATTTGAATACCTACTACTACTAGGCCCTTGCCAAAGCAATTTAGATTAACTACCTCTTTTTATCCTTTCAACAAATGTCTGCAGGAAGTATTATTAACACTGTATTACAGATGAGGAAACTGAGACTTAAGCCAAAGAATTTGGCCATAGTCACCCAGCTAGTAAGTCAAAATGAGTCTAAATGTAGAGCTCTTAACCACCATACCGTATTGCCTTCCTAACAAAACTCAGTCCTTATTCTTCTGATAACTTTAATTATCTCACAAACATTGATTTATCTTTTGCTATCCACTGGGGATAACGAGAAAGGAAGGCTCTTGTTTTCAAGGATCTGAGACTTTGAGGAGTCAGTTAGTGAATAACTATTGAGCGGAAGTATTCTTTGAAAGAGTCATGACTACTGGCTTTTTAATTCAGTCTCCTTCTCTGGCCTTTTGAGTGGAGCAGGATGTAAGGCCAATAATTGAGTAGGGCGCATAAAAACTCTGCTTCTGCCCTTCATCTCTCATCTCAGGCAGACATCACAAGGTTGAGGTTGGAACCTGGAATAGGACAAATGAGCAATCATAAATTTAGGCTAGGTCGAAAGATTCTTGAGATTTCTGACCAGGAGAATTTTGGACTTTGTGGGGTTCTTTGAGCATTTGACTTTTTCAAGTCCTGTGTCTTTTTTTCTCCTCTTTCCCTGTTATTTGGTTTGCGGTTGTCTTGAGGGAGATGTTTTTTATATTAGGAAACTGGTAAGGCTTAGGGGAAAATAAACCTCTAATTGGCTGTTTGAAATTTATTCTAGGTTTTTAATATTCTGCACCCAATTCTGATGGTGTGTGTGGGGAGGTGTGGGGTGACCAAGCAATTTTCGGACACCAGCTGAGTGTCCTACAATTCGACTCAATTCTGACAGTACTCAGAGGTAGCGTCAGATTCTGCAGATTAAGGGCTCAGTTGCACAAGACTGTCCCAGATGTCAGTCGCAAACTCACGTTGTTACCTGTGCTTCTGACCTACTGGCCATAAATCAGAGATTCCCACGACCCCCTCCTTGGGTTGCATTAATTTGCTAAGGCAGCTCATGGAACTCAGGAAACCAATTTGCTCACTAGATTACTGGTTTATTACTGAGGATATTAAAGGATATAGAATCAGCAGCCAGATAAAGAGATGCATAGCGTAAGGTCTTGAACAAAGGAGTTCTCATGGAGTTTGGGGCCTGACATGGTGGCAGGTGGAAGCATTCTGGTTTACCACCTGGAAGCTCTCCAAACCCCCTTCTTTTGGGTTTTTGTGGCCGCTTCATTACATAGGCACAATTGATTAAATCATTGACCATGGGTGATTGATTCAACCTCCAGCCCCTTGCCCCTCCCCAGAAATCAGGGGATGGGACTGAAAGTTCCAACCCTCTGTTCATGGTTGGTTCTCCTGGCAGCAAGCCCCCAAACTTTAGATGCAGTCCAAAGTCACCTTGTTAACATAACAAAAGACATCTTTATAGTTCTCGTCACTTAGGAAATTGCGAGGGTTTTAGGGGCTCTGTGCCAAAAAGGGGAACAAAGACCAAATATATATTTCTTATAAAATCATAATACTGTTTTGGTCTTGGGAAAAATAGAGTTAACTAAATTTCATGTTTCTAACCAAGATTATAAAGCTAAAGAAGTAAGGATTCAAAGGAAACTTTTATCATAGAATAAAAGATAAACTGTTTTCTAGAATTTCTCTCTAGACTATTTCTTAGGTACTGAATATGGTTAACAAAGTAGAGGAAGAATAAGACAGCTCTTACCAGAACCATATGGCTTCTAATTAAAGTATTGCCGACTATAAGAGAAGGAAGACATTAGGAGGGTTAAACATATTTGGAGTTCAATCTATTAGGTGATCAAATTTTATCCTTCAGGTATTTTTCTATAAAATATTTTCAGTGTAGTTGTATTTATGAACACTGCTTGTTACCATATTTGAATAAGCCAAGAAGTCATGTGAGACTGGCAGCTAGGCTTTGATTTATTTGAACATATAATTCTGCCTCCCTTGAGATTTTAAAAAAATATAAATGGTTTTATAATTAGTCATCATGGGTTTTTGCATATAGACTTAGAAAATCTTCAGCTAAAGAAATGTGCAAATTTTTCTAAGTTATTTTAAGAATAACATAATGGATGTTTCATCTTCTTCATTATAGTCTTTAAACCTACAAGACAGCAGCCCTCCCAAGATGTTGCTACTAAGAATTACTCAGAGGTAAGAAAAGAAGTTTTATAGTTGTGTTTAATAATTTATATTTCCTGGATTATGAATTGTTAGTTCTTTGCTCTACAAAGTAAATAGAAGAAAAAGTGTGGAACATTAAAGCTAGAGAGAACTTACTGATTATCTAGACTGAGGGCTTCTAGGATTATTCTTTTTGGTTTCTCTCCTTTTTTTTGGCTGTGCATCACATGATTAGAAATCCTTAAATGTATATATACAGTAATCTTTTTAAGGATAGCAGTGTTGAACCAAGGGGTCCATGCATGGAATACTAATATGTAAGTGGCAATTCAGTGCATATAAAGGTTTTATTTATGCCGGCCTTCCTTTTGTTGCTTAGACTCTCATAAGTCTGTGGCTTGTACCTTAATGGCTGAAAGTAGACTCAGGACAAACTAAAAGATCAGAGTCTAAGGACCTCTGTGTTCAGCTCTAGCTATATAACATAGGCCTTCTGCTCTTCCTTTGGATTCCAAGAATAGTCCACTATGGCCTTGACCCTCCTATTACCTCACTTTCAAAACCTGTGTCTTAATCCCAAGCCAGTACTCTTCCCTCTGTATCAGGGTTTCTCAGTGGCAGCACTGTTGACATTTTGGACCAGATAAGTCTTTGTTGTGAGGGACTGTCCTATACAATATAGGATGATTAGCAACATCTTGGCCTCTACTCACTAGATGCCGGTAGTACGCCCCTACTTATGGCAATCAAAAATGTCTCCAGACATTTCCAGATGCTTCCAGGATGGGAGTGAGGGTTAAAAATCATCCCCAGTTGAGAATTGTTGCTCTATACCATACTGCCCCAGCAGTCTTTTCTCAAATTTCATTCGTCTTGGTCTCTCAAATATGTGACGCAATTGACCCACCCCCTTTTCCAGAAAAGAGAAAAGTAAATTTCTCTTCTTCTCCGTCCTGAATTCTGATCTTGTTCTTTTATCTCTCTTAACTTCATCTTTCTTTTTTTTTTCTTTCTTCTTACTATTATCAATTTATATGTGGGTATACCAGTGCTAACTTTTATACTGAGCTCCATTTCATTATTTCTAATCAACTATTGCATGCTCATACTTCAAGATCCTCATATCAGAAAGCAAAATTATCATCATGTCCACAAGGTAGCTTCCCTTCTAGATTTTTCTATTATCAGGCAAGAACACGAGTTCAAAGAGAACAAGTCATGCCAAACTACCGTTTGTTTTCATTTTTAGATTGAGTTTATACAGTGGTAGATTAGGAGAACATTGAATGCATTTGATTCCCTCAAGGTACATGACGACCTCCTGATAGTTTTATGGACAAAATGCAGGATTGGCTGGATTCATAGCTGCTTAGACAACTGCATTTAATGAGTTTTGTTTAATAAATAGTTCAGTGTCAGCCTGGAGGGGGAGGTCTTAGATGCTGTCTTTTCAGTATTTTGTCGTTGGCCTTACGAGTTAGATGAAGACATAGCAAATGTGTGTATTAAGTGTCAAGTAACACAAAATGTAGAGGAATGGATAGCATCTTGGATGATAGAATCAAGAATCACAAATATCTTTACTGTGGCTTGAAACCAGCAAACGGTATTTAACAGATAAATGTAGCAGAAAGATTGGTATCCATTACTTGCAGCACAGTCTTATACGTCATTTCAGATTGGAGATTGAACACCATTGATCTCACTCCTTAGAACCCCGAAAAATCACAGGCCACTGCCTGCACATGACCCTCTGTGAGTCATTCACCAATCTAACTGCATGTTCCTTGAGGTACCCAGGCTGCCATGCAGGCAGGGAGAGACGTGAGCTCACACCTGTTGTGTAGAGTAGTACTTGTGAATGAAGAGTGACATTGGAGGGAGGTCAGGCTGAGCTTTAGTTTTGATAGTTGCTGCTTACACGGTTTCTGCCTCTTTTTTTGTGACTTCTTTTTATACATTAAAAAAACCTTTGTTTTAATTATTTAATTCATTATTATTCAAATGTTCCATTCCCAGCAAAACTGTTTGCTATTTTGTTTTTACCCCGTTAGGTGATGGAGGTGGATGAGTCAGATGTCGAAGACAACATTTTTCCTACCACTTCAAAAACAGATCAAAGGTAGGTGCAGTGGCTTCCTGCAAAAAGAAACATCTGAAAAAACCAAAAATTATCCAGAATTCCATTTATATATTTTTCTATGCCATAGAATTTTAACAGATTTATTTTCAGCTAGTCAAGTATGTAGAGAAGTGGAAAGTCGATCAAGGACTAGTTTATAGAGTCCATGCAGTACTATTACAAGTATTTTCATTGCAGATTCAAATAACCTGTAATTCATTTCCTTTTGTCTTTATTACCCAGTGGTTTTCTTGATGGAGTACTGTGTTCTCTCCACAGTTAACAGAAAATAGTTTTGCATTTTGTTAATAGCTGATTTCAGCTTCTCTTCATCTTCGTATCTTTACGTACTGAATTACATAGGGTGCTGGACTAAACACTAAAAAGGGAATCATGTCGACTTTCTCTGTCTTCAGAGCACTTTTATGCTTTTCCTGCCCTTTGTTGGTTTTGGCCTATTACTGTAAGGTTTGACTCGATTCACTATTACCATTTTCTTCTGTGTTAACATTGTAGGTGAACACTGCTTAACTAAAGCTCAGTTAATGAAAATTTCTACTTAAGAAAATAACAGCTTTTTTAGCCTTATTCTGTGTGAATATTATATTAGGTCTGATGGAGGACATAATAAATGTTTTAATGTGGTGACTGCCTTCAGGCAACATAAAATGTAGTGGAGAAGAGAGATGAGCACATTTGAATCCATTAAGGGATAATTATGTATGAAATTTTATGATACAGACTAGGTATGAGTGCTTATAGGCCCTCAGAAAAAGGAGTAAGAAGTGTGGGCTATCATAGAAGAAAAAGCTTTCTAGAGGGAATACAATTTATCTGTGATTTTATTTTATTTATTTATTTTTATTTATTTTTAATTTATTTTTTATTTTTGAGGAGGATTAGCCCTAAGCTAACTGCTGCCAATCCTCCTCTTTTTGCTGAGGAAGACTGGCACTGAGCTAACATCAATGTCCATCTTCTTCTACTTTATATGTGGGATGCCTACCACAGCATGGCTTTGCCAAGCGGTGCCATGACTGCACCCAGGATCCGAACCAGTGAACCCTGGGCCACCAAAGTGGAAGTTGTGAACTTAACCACTGCGCCACCAGGCTGGCCCCTAGCTGTGATTTTAAATACAGGAATTGTTTGGATCAGTGGGGTGGAGAATGACAGCTGAGAGTAGTGACTTGAGCAGAGTTACAGAAATAGGGGAAAGATTGAGGAAAAAGCTCTACCTCAGTGTTTCTCAAACTTTTTTCGTTACCTAAGGATAAAAATTAAATTTGATTTAAATTAATTAAAAATAACAAATTTAAGGGCCAGCCTGGTGGCCTAGTGGTTAAGTTTGTACCCTCTGCTTCAGTAGCCTAGGGTTCGCAGGTTCAGATCCCAGGTGTAGACCTAGCACCGTTCGTCAAGCCATGCTGTGGCAGCATCGCACATGTAGTGGAGGAAGATTGGCACAGATGTTAGCTCAGTGACAATCTTCTTCAAGCAAGAAAGAAGAGAATTGGCAACAGATGTTAGCTCAGGGCCAATCTTTCTCACACACACACACACACAAAACAACAGTAAAACCCAAAAAAACCAAAATAAATAATAACAAATTTAATTTCTCCTTAACAAGAGAGGTTAAATACTAAAGAATGAAATTTTATTGGGTAGGATTGAGCTTGGGAGGGCCAAAAACCGTTAAAATAGCCAAAATTTTTCACCCACCCTATCTCCTGGAACCACTTTTCATTCCTTGGTTGTGATGTTGACCTTGTTGAGAATATGCACTTTATATGAATTAAGGGTCTGTATTGGAAAATTTGGTAAATATAGTTCCACATCTTATTTATTTATTTAAACATTATGCTGGGAGCTGGGGATAAAAATATGAAAGCAATGTCTCCTTTCTTCTAGGAATTTACTTTTTAGTGGTATGCTAATTACAGGGCACTAATAATCCACCAAGTCAGTGTTTTATTCAAGTGTAATGAAATCTAACGGAAGTGCCAATGTCTTCCCAGGATAGGTCATTGAAGGTTTTACAAAGAAAGTAGGTAACATTTGAGCTGATGATAACAGATGTGTAAGAAAGCTTGAAGGAAATCATCAAGTCGTCAGGGAGCAGCAATACAGAGGAATGTCACAGGCCACAGACAACTGCTTAAAAGGGTGATCAGGGAAGGCCCCTGGGGAGGTTACCTTTAAACTGCAATTTTACTAAGAGATACTTGGCCTTGCAGAAAGCAGAGGGAAAAGCATATGCCAAGTCTCTTGAAGAAGAAACAACCTTACCGTAATTTAGGAGCAAGTGACCAAAGCATGGTGGAAAGGAGGTGGTTTGAGATGAGAGTAGAAAAGACAGGCAGGAGTACATCCTGAAGCAGGAACAGGTGAGCAGGGTGAGGAATTTGGACTTGATGATAAATGCAGGGGGAAGCCAGGGAAGGATTTTGAGAGAGTAGTGGCACCATCTGATTTACATATAAAGGATCCCTGTGGTGCAGGAGGACAGGAGTGCAAACCAGCTGCCCTGAAAGGAGGTGCTGTGGCGAGTCCAGGGAAGAGATGCGGGAGGCCTGCTCCAGGGTGGTAGCGGGGGAAATGGAGGGAATAGACAGTTTCAGGATACACTTGGCGGTAGACGTGTCAGAAGTTGGGGATGGACTGAGTATTTGGAGTGAGGGAGAATGAGGAATCATGGCCAATTTCCAGGTTTCCTCTTGAGTACTTAATGCTGTACACTGAGAAAGGCATAAAGAAGAGAAACGGATTTCTGCAGAGGATGATGGGCAGATAATCAACAGTTCTTCTTTAAACATGGAAAGTTTGAGATGCCTGAAAGGAGTTTATAAGTGATTGAATTTATGATTCCAGAGCTCAGATAAGAGGTTTGATTGATACCTAAATTTACTTCTCAACAGCACATAACTGACACTTAGAGCCATTGGAGTGGATCGATCACCTTGAAAGAGAAGGTAGAGAAAAAAGAGGGCTTGTGTTCCAATCCTGGGATTTCAATCTTTAGAGCTTAGGTAAAGTAGAAAAAGCAACAAGAAAGACATGAGAAAAACCCAGAAAATGGAGTTGCCAAAGCCAGTGCTGGCCTTTGTAGAAGGAGTGAAAAATACCAAGATAGGCTGAGAGGCCGGTCAGTTTGTGTGTTGGCGGTGGGTAGTTGAGGATAGTTGAGGTAGTCGGCTCATAAGAAGATGTGCTGGAATTCTCAGGCTTGAGTTACGTGTATTAAACAGGGCTCCTTTGGTGTCTGCTGATAGAAACCTCACTCACATTTGCTTTGGGAAAAGGAGATTTGTTGGATGGATATCAGGATATCTCAGTCCATCGACAGAAGAGAGTCCCTTTCTAAGTGCTTGTTTGGTTTTCTTGTCTTTGTAAAGTAAAACACACTCAAACAAAAGCAGGTCTAGCTTTCTGTGGGTTTTTTCAGTCGTGAGTCAATAGTTGAGAGGAATATAAAAGTTTGGCTTTTATGGGGTCCTTATTTTTCATTCTTGGAACTAATGAAACTACTATGTTAGTTGGTTTGACATATATTTAAGGGTATTAAAGAAACAATATCTTGATTTTGCTACCATTTTGGGTTGTCTGTTTTTCAGTAGAATAAATGTCTCTTGACTTATTTAGTCATGAGGTAATAATCATGATAACTGAATTGTTTAGCACTTCCTGCGCGTCAGTCACTGTTCTGTGCCTTTATGTATAAGTTGGCTTGTTTGGTGCTCACAGTCACCCCAGGAGGTAGGTGCAGTTATAACCACATTATCCCCATTTTACTTTTGAAGAAAGGGAGGCACCTAGGTAGGCTGCTTACCTAAGGTCACCCAACTAGTCACATAGGCAAGCATTCTGCTCCAGAAACTTGCTTCTTAACATAATAGATTAAGCTCTCAGACCATTGTGCAAGCAATAAGGATCATTTAAATGGTGAGAAGCAATTTAGAAATTAACATTTTGGCAAGAAATCTGAAATCCGCCTTGGCAGATTTATGTTTCTGATGAAGCCACTGAATGACAGAATTTTGGCTGTTTGGAAGAATTTTTTAGAAATGGCATGGTTTGTATGGTTTATTTCACTTGTAATTTAAAGTATTTAAGCTCTGGCGTTTACTAGGTGTGGACCATGTGCAAGCTTTTTGTCTTCTCTGTGCCTCAGTATCCTCATTTGTAAAATGAAGATAATATTTACCTGAAAGGGTTGTAATGAGGCTTAAGGGAGTTGATGTTTGTGAAGTGCTAAGTACAGTACCAGGCACATAGTGCCTATGTAAATGCTTATTGAATAAACTAAGCAACGGGCTAGGGAACTAGAACAAGAATAATAGGAAGAACGGTAAGCAATAAAAGCAGTCATGTTCCTGGCAGCTAAGTTTAAAGAGGAAATAACTTCCAGCTGTAAAACTCCCTTCTGCCAGATGAGCCATGGAAAGCCTAGTTTTCCCTGGAAAAATTGTTCGGAACTCTACTCTTGTTGTACTAGGAATAAGAGCATCCTTCCAGATTTGATAGAGCTGGCAGGTAATAACCACCATCAGCTTAAAGCAGCAAGCGGGAGAAGACCCAGCTCCATCAGGAGGAGAGATGGAGGGGATTCTGTTAAACCTTGCAGTAGAGAAACTAGCATTTTGGGGTACCTTTTATGTGCCAGGCACAGCACAGGCCAATTTAACATTTTATCTTACACTTATAACTGCTACAACTGACTTATTGTCTGAACATCTCTAGACAGGAATTCTAATTTATGGCCCCAAATTATATATGGACAAAAATAGAGAAAACTTACAACTCCTGGAGCTCAATTTGATGTACCCCCTCCCCTTATTGTTGAGCCATCTACATGAAGCTAATCAAATTAACACTTTTTGAGATCCAGAACAAAAGCCCATTTATTTGACTCAAGAGTCAAAACAGTATACCCATTTCTTTCCCTTCCCACCACTGATTTCCAAGGATAGGGGGGCTCTTGCAGATGAGATCTGTAGGTCTGTGGGGTCCTCTGATGCAGAATTAGAGCTCTTGCTGTGATCAAATAAGCCAATGTCTGTCATAGATGCCTGGCTTGTTTCTGGGCCCCATTAGACAAATGACTTTGTTTCGGGAGACATCAGAAAGCAGAGTCGGGTCTCAAACGTTTCTTTCCATAACCCCCCCTACTTTCCCCAGCAACAATGCATTAACCTAACTTTGTCACCTTTGGACTGTGGCTTTATGCTCTTGCTGATCTGCCTCTTCCCATCACAGGTGGGAACAGGTCAACAATTGCCCAGTTCCTGCTTAGCTCAAGTACAGAGACAGGGACTCCCCAGATGGATCAGTTGATAAACTCTTTGATCCTCTACCTGTAAAACTATGTTGCCCTTCAAGTTTGCTCAAGAAATCCTCCTGTCCTTTACTTTTGTGCATAAGAACTTGTGGATTTTTCTGTTTTCTTCTGACATAAGACCTCTTGATTCTCAATCTGTTTGTCCAGACAAGACTTTCGGACATATTTCTTTTGCTTTTATAGCATCCCAAAGCATGGTAATAAATTACTGGCTAAAAATTCACAAACACTGAGCCAGCCCTGATCACCTAGGGCATGGGTTCCCGGGCTCGGAACCACACCTCTCATCTGTCAGTAGCCATGCTGTGGCAGCGGCTCACATAGAAGAACTAGGACTTAGAAGTAGAATGTAGAACTGTGTCCTGGGGCCTTGGGGAGGAAAAAGAAGGAAAAGAAAAAGAGAAGAAGATTGGTAACAGATGTTAGCTCAGGACAAATCTTTCCCAGCTGAAAAATAAAATTCACAAACACTGCTTTCATTCAAGACATGAGTCAGCAAACTTTTTCTGAAAAGCCCAGATAGTAAATATTTTAGGCTTTGCAGACCAAGAGGCAAAATTGAGGGTATTATGTAGGTATTTATATAACCATTTAAATGTACCCATTTCAAAGTGTGAAAACCATTCTTAGCTCATAGGCTGTTAGAAACTGGCAGGCTGAATATGGCCTGCTGGCCTTGATTTGCTGGCCCCTCATCTAAGATGACTTAAAATTCTTATTAATGAAAGGACGTAGGAATATGGGTTCCATTACCACAAGGTAAGCTTCACAAGGATGGGAATCATGATTTTCTTGTTCAGTGGTGTTTCCCAGGGCCTATCATAGTACCTGGGAAAGAGCAAGCACTCAGTAAATATTTGCTATTTGATTTGGATTGAAAACAAATAGCACAAACGGTGAGGCAACCCTAGAAAGCAGTGAGCCTCTCCTAAGAGCCTTTATCCTGTTACAGAAACATAGCGAGAGTTGAATTAAAAATACCTCAACGTTGCCACAATTTTCAGGAGTGGGGGATGGCAGTAGATACATGTTAATATATGCTAAGAGATTTAATAATAATATAAGTAATCATTGGTGTAGTGCTTAATATGAGTCAGGCACTAATCTAAGTGTTTAGGTATATTAACACAATAAATCTTTAAAAAAATTTTATCCTCATTTTGCACATGAGGAAATTGAGGCACAGAGAGGCTAGGTAACTTGCCTAAAGCCACATAACTAATAAATGACAAAACTGGAATTCAAACCTTGGTCCTAGAGTCCTTTTCCTCATTAAGTTTTTACTACCTCTAATGTGGATTGAAGGGAATGTATTAATTATTTTTATTCGTGGCTGCTACTAGAATGGAAAACTTAGCGAGAAAGGCACTTTTTTTTAAAAGTTTTTCTTGCAAATATCTTTAATAATAATATTCCCTTCAATAGGTTGCAACAAAGTTGACAAGATATAGTAGCTAGATCAAATACTGTACTTCTAAGAAGTGGGTGCCATAACAATAATACCTTTAAAATAATAACTATTTTTGTTTTCCTTTAGAAATGTCAAATTTAGTTTGTTAAGAATGTTAAAAATATTGGTTGAAATACCGATTTTGTTACTCAACATCATATTCAAAAATAGTTGCCTAATGAAATTGCTTTTTACTTAGGAAAATGTGAGCCTCATACCTCAGTCTATATGCCTCGCTTAGCATCATGATGACAGTTTTGGTGGAATCAGTAGGCGGAAATGGTTAACTCCAACCTAGGAACGAAGTTGAGAAAAGCACTTTTGATAATTCTTTTGTTCATTTTCTTTGTTTTTTCCATGTTTTTTGCCTCAGGTGGTCAAGCACATCATCGTCCAGCAAACACATGTCCCAGAGCCAAACAGCTAAAGGGATCGAGTTTGAATCAGATGAGGTAATAAAGTAATATTGTTAAATCTTAATTTTTAACTGTTTATAAAATTTAAATAGGGACTGCTAAGCTAGTTGCCGGAAATTATTTAGAAAAAAACATTTTCATTGATAATCTTCCTTTGAGTTAACTATAGTTAATGTTAAGAGTCAATAAGTAGCATCAGGCTAGCCCTAGCGGCCTAGTGGTTAAGTTCAGTGTGCTCAGCTTCAGCGGCCTGGGGTTCCGTTCCCTGGTGCAGACCTACACTGTTCTGTTAGCAGCCATGCTGTGCTGACAGCCTCCTTACTAAAAAAATAGAGGAAGATTGGCATAGATGTTAGCTCAGGGTAAATCTTCCTCAGCAAAAAAATAAATAAATAAATAAATGAATGAGTAAGTAGCAACTGTTGAGTGCCCACCAGTGTAAATACCTCAGATATAAAAGGCTTGCAGATTTTTAAAATATGATACTCCCTCAGTTCTTCTTTAATTTGCCCAATTAACACTGGGATCAGAATAGTTTTTTCAGCTTCTGTCATTTATATTTGGAGAAATGATGAATGATGACATCCTAAAAGCTTTTAATGTTACTTTAATAGAATATTTATTAAGTATCCATTATATAGGCTCCACACGTTTCATATATAAGATGTATGGCAGGACGTAGGAAAGAAACTCCAATTCAAGACAGTTATCTGGACCAGAAAACTATAAAATCTCTTCTAACTTGAATGAGAAGGATTGGGAAGGGGTAGAGTCAGGACCTGCCCCTTGCCTTCATTCGTTTGTTGTTCCAGCCAAGTTGAAGTAAAGCCTAGTTTTCTCTTTCTTCCATGGCGGCCCTTTGAAGAGCCTTGTTGGCTTTTGTTGAATTGCTTTAAGGTGTTTCTCTTACTTAAGCCTATCACCCTTTTCATTTATTTACTTTAAAAAATTTTTAATTTTGGTAAAAACACATAACATAAAACTTACCATCTTAACCGTTTTAAGTGTTTAGTTCACTAGTGTTAAGTATATTTACATTGTTATGCAACAGATGTCCAGAACTTTTTCATCTTCCGAAACTGAAAATCTATACCCATTGCCCAATAACTCCCCATTTCCCTTTTCCAGCCCCTGGTAACCACTATTCTACTTTCTGGGGGTTTTTTTTGTTTTTTAAAGATTGGCAGCTGAGCTAACAACTGTTCCCAATCTTCTTTTGTTTTTTCTTTTCTTTTTTTTTTATTCTTCTCCCCAAAGCTCCCCAGGGCTTCGTTGTATATTCTAGTTCTGACTGCCTCTGGTTGTGCTATGTGGGATGCCGCCACAGCATGGCTTGATGAGCAATGCCATGTTCGCATCCAGGATCCGAACCAGCAACACTCAGGGCTGCCAAAGTGGAGCGTGTGAACTTAACCACTCGGCCACATGGCTGTCCCCTACTTTCTGTTTTGATAAATTTGACTACTTTAGATATCTGCTATAAGAGGAATCATACAGTATTTGTCCTTTTGTGACTGACTTATTCCACTTAGTGTATAATGTCCTCCAAGTTCATTCCTGTTATAGCATGTGACTCATGCCTTTCCTTTTGAGCCTCAACTGCTGCTGTCATATTCCCTGTATTCCAGCTGTGGCTTTGAAACAGCTTGAGGAGAGGACTCATCAGAATTCAGGCTGCAGAGAAAAATGGCAGCATGAATTCAGTCTGCCTGTTAAATGTTGCCTCTGGGAGGGAAGCAAGCAGTGGTTGACTCCTTTGGTAACTCCAAAACACCTAGATGTACATGTGGTTATACGTTACAGTTAAAAAATTTTATATAGTTCATGTTAACTGCAAAGAAGAACTATTAGCAAATTCTCTATTATACTTCAGTTTGGATTTATCTCTGGTTTATTAACAAGTTCTGCCTTTGATAGTAGCAGAAAATGAATCAATGAATGAAAGCGAATGTGTATTTCTCAAGGCGTCCATTTCTCACCAGAAATAGCTAACTTAGCTAACATTTGAATGTGTTAAGACCACCAACAGAGCCTAGCCCCAAATAATTACCCTTTTTTATTGTCTTAAATAAAAAATTTGCCAACAAATTTGCTTTCTCTTCTGAATATTTAGTTATAGACTACATAAGAATAAATTTTATGTTTTCTTCATCAAATTTTGTAACTTGGGCTTATCTGTGGTTTGTTAGTTTTATTCTCTTTGATTAAATTCTTAGTTAGTATCTGATATTCCTGTCTGTTCTTACTGTACATATGATCTACAGCCCAGCAGCATGGGAACTCTGAAATTGAAATACTCCATCTGCTTCTTTTTCCAAAATAAATATGAAAGATTGCTTTGCTAGGTTGTTTTTGCATCAGTCTGAGAGTAGCTGTTTATTTCTAACATTAAATGGGTAATGGGAAATAAAATTACAGCTATTTCTGAGCTTGGTCATGTGGCTTCATTATGTTTTTGACTGAGTTTCCAGAACAACATATACAACAGTAATAAAACGTAAATGAAAAAAACCTATTCAAGAAACAATAGAAATGACTTGAAGAGTAGTAATTTTTCTGGCTTACCCACAGCTTATTTGCCTTTATTAAGGTTGATAATTGAGAGAAATGTATATGGTATGTATATATACAAACACATATATATCAGAATAAATTATTTTTAATGCCAGGAGTTTAATTGCACTTATTTCAGCAGTGAAATAGCTACTAAGGAAGGGAGGAAAGGATAAATTGACAAACTGTTCGCATTTGTAGAGGAAATAGAAACATGAAAATCTATCTCATGTGAAAGGAGAAAATAACTCTTAGTGGTCTTGTTTTGCCCATAAGAACTTCTGTCTTGTCTCAGTGAAGCATGATGCAATCCCTGACATAACATTTGTGTGTCATTTCAGGACGATGATGACGATCCTTTTATGAACATTAGTTCTATGAGAAGAAACAGAAGATAATATATTTAGTGGTACTGAGAAATTTTCAAGATTCAGGAAAAATCAAAACATTGCAAGCTAAGGGTTAGCAGTTGAAGATTCAAGTATTTCTGTTAACTGAAGAATTTGAAAGAGACTTAACAGAGAAACTAATGCTTAAGAATTTATGTTCTTGAATATCGTTTCCTGAACATGACTCCTTTACTTGAGAAACTTCCCAGCTCAAGGACATAGAGAATAGCATTGGTTCCCCTTATTTTTTAATCTGGTTGTTAACATTACCTGGGGATGCTCTATAAAATTTAGAATGTTAGTTTTCTGACACACATTGGTGTATGTCTTCCTGAGTGAGGGCTTTGCTTAAAGATCATTCTTGAGAAAGGATGAAAAGCAATCTATCACTGTATTTCAAATGCTTCGTGACCAAAGACAAACCATCTGTATTTTAATTTGGTTACATTTAGCCGAAGTTGAGGAAAGGACATTACAAAACTTAAACCTCCTTATAATTTGCATAATTTCTAGAGATTCTGGATTTCTTGAAGGTCAAATAGTCTGTGTGAAACTGTGCCTGAGCTCACTGTTTATTACTAAGTATGTTCCTTTTCTAATGCTTATGACAATATCAACCACTAAGACTTTGAAAGATTAGATGTATCTTATACTTTGAATAGTTAGATATGTTTGTATTAAAAAAATAGAACAGTCTGTCAGAATTATTGAGTTTTTGATTCCAGTTGTGGCAAAAATTTTAAAAGATTATGTTCCCGAGTGGTAGCAGTTTTGTTCATTATTCTCATGGTTCTGTCTCTCTCTCTTTCTGTATCTCTCATTTATTTCTAGGAGGAAAAGAGATAAAAACTTTTTTTAACTATATCTTTCATAGAAAATATTGAAGAACTTTTTTAGATAGATTGGTAAGTTGGTATATTAGATTAAAATATTGAAATATAACTTCTATAGAATATCAATGCCAAGATTTCTCATTAAGAATATTTTATCTTAAGATTAGGCATAGTCAATCCAGAAATCTTAGTGAAGCGACTCATGTTAAGTTTATATTTTCTTTCTTGTGTTCAGGAGGACATAAAAATTTGACCTCTTCAGATTTAAGTTCAATAAGCCCATTCTCCATTTTAAGACTCTGTTAAAAGACCCCTGAGAGTATTCCTCCCTTCCATCTATGAGGCAGCTACATTTAAAGACTCCCAAAGGAAGTTATAGATCTTGATGGTAGAATAGCTTGACATTTCTTCATATGTAGAAACAAACACTTGACTGAGTAATATTCCTGATTATTGGCGTAGTCATACCTGGAGTTATTAAAGACAGAATATCTGTCTGGTGGCTGCCTCTTTTTTTATAGCCCTGTGAGATGGCCTAAGTCGAGAACTGCTACATAACATTCTAATGAGTTTCTTTAAAAATATTTTCTGTACGTAACTTGAGCATAAGGTTTGTTTTAGCAGGTAGCATTAACTCAGCAGAAGGCCTTGTCCTGTGAAATAGTCTCAGGCACAGCTGCCCACATCTGTAATAGTCCCAGTGTGTGGATGAAGCAGAGGTGAAATCGTGAGTGAGAGCATCTTTCCATGGTGGAATGGATGCTGGTCTGGGTGGCAGTCTCTGGGCGATGCAGTGTTGCCCCTGCACAGGGCAGCATCAGCTAATGGCTCATGTCACCTGCCGCTGAGATATGCTTGGGTGAGGGTCAGAATGAAGGAGATGGTCACTAAGGCATCCCAATAGGTTCCTGAAAAAAAAGAAGGCAGTTCTCTCCCTTTCTAAAAATTGTTCTACGATATGAAATAGGTAGTAAGCTTGATGTGCTTAGCCCTGGGAAAAGTGATTCCATGGCAGCTGGAGAGATGATATTCTCTTTGATGAATTCAAGTGATTTTGTGAATAGTTAGTGTGCACCACTTCCTGGAAATACAGGAAATAAGAGGTGAAAGAAAAACCTTTTTGCCTGAATATTGTTGCACAGTTAAATATGTCTTATATCCTTGATATTCTCTGCTCATGCAGTAACATCTAAGGTTTGGGGCAGTGTTCATACGTGTTGCTAGAGGTGTGTACAGGTGATTCCAGATCATGGCAGAGCACCTGCAGTTGCTCTTGGAGGCTGAGAGAGCAGCGGTGAAAACATTCTGAGGAAACAGTCCTTCCATCATTCAGCAAAGAATATGTCTCTTTTTGATATTTTGTTTCCTATCATAAAAATACAATAGTGCATTTACAAGGTTAAGAATGCACTGTAGCTCTAGGAAATATAACTGATGCTTGGAAAATTCAAGCATTTAGGCAAATGACTTTTAATTCAGGTACATTTTTTCCCTAAACTTTTAAAATTGCAAAACACAGTAACAGAAAAGTCATGTGGTTTAACAAATAATTATAAAACATCTCTATAGCGGTCAGAAAATAGAACATCACTAGTGCCCCCAAAGCCCGCCGAGGTGTCTCCTCTCCCCTGGGTAACAGTCTTAACCTCTCTAATTCAGAAGCTCTTACTTTTGCCACAAGGTGGTGCTTCCACCATTAGATAGCAGATAGGATGATGCAACTGCAAATCTAAAATTAAGAAGTTGTTATAGTTTTGTGGTAAATTTAGAACCTATGCAGTAATATTAAACCTATGCAGTAAAACCAAAATTAGCCTTCTAATCTTATATGTAAATTGCTTTACGTATTTCACCTGGCTCAGCCTGTTACTAAGGAAGTTGTCAGTTTGATAAATTTTACATATAAAGGTTCAAGAAGAAAATGTTTTATGTTTTAATAAACAAAGAGAAAAACTCTTTATTAGAAAAAGTGAATTAAAAAGTCTCCCATTGTAAAATTTTTCTGTTGAAATGTACTATATTTAAAAATAACTTTACTCCAATGTAATCTGATGTCCTTTTTTTGTATCTATCATATATTTAATTCATAGTATTTTGTGGCTTTTTAAAGCTAACTACTGTTAAGATTATTATGAAAGTTTTATAGAATAAAGATTTGGTTTTTTGAGTCCAAAGAGCTTCCACATTCTGGAATGAAAAATGCCCACATCATTTGCTTATCTCATTCCCTTTCAGTATTTCTCAACTTAATGTTTATTAGCTAGGTCTGAAAATACTAGAAATTTAATTTGATCTCTGTAAAGACACTCATATAGCTTGCTATTGCCATGCACATTTGTTTATCTTTACTGTTAGTGATCGCTAGATCTGATTTTAGCTGTTTTTAAATTGTAAAAACAATGCATATTCTTCAAAATTCAGACATTGAAATATGTATTAAAACATGTATATTTCCCTGTAATCCTCTCCCCAGACATAACCTCTCAACAATTAGGTACATATTTCTCCAATTACTTCTGGCATAACTACTAACAAAAATTGTTGAATTGGAACCCCAAATTGTATAGTCAAATATTTTAGTTCCCCATCAAGGTATATGTTCACCTTGGTGCTTATCTTATCTTGATTTTTCCACATGTGCTTTGTTAACCTCTTTTAATTAAACCATCATTGTCTGTTTTGAGGGATAATTGCTTTCCAGTGTGCAGTTTAAATGTTATCACTCAATTTGGGTCAAATAAAAGAATACTTAATCGGTTTGCCTTGACATCAAAAGTGGTAAAGTGATTTTCAAAGGGCTCTTGGACAGTGATTGCACGAGATACGTAATAGTTGATTAGCTGCAACAAGCGCAGTGGATGTCAGGCTGGCTGGCCCAGGCTACACTCTCCTGCCTCTCAGAGCCACGTGCAGTCCTGATGATTCATGTGCAGATGCCCGGCAGTAGTGCATAAGTGCCCTTGATCATACTACACTGCCTGTTTGATTTCAGAATTTCATGTTTGTTATATTTGAAAATCAGTATTTTCTCCACTATAAACTTATAAATGTAATTCCGGTCTACCTGTTAGTGTATTTGAATTTATTACTGAGTGTATCTGGACTTTGAGCAAGTTTGCTAGAGGCAAATACCCATTGCTTAATAGAATGAGAGGCGCAGCTGCATTTCCGCTCTTTGATAGTCTGGAAATAGGGCTCGTGAAATAAAGGCGTCCTTTTTACATTCATTAAAATGTCTTATCATAAACACTGAAATTCATCCATCCATCCATCCTAGACATACCTGAAAGCCCCCAAAGGTTTATCGTCCCGATTTTGATTTCTGAGGTTTTAGTAGTGCTTTAAAACTGGATCATGTTTTCTAAGTTTTAATTTTGAAATAATATTGAATTTATGGAAAATTTGCAAGAATAACAGAACTTTTTACCTTTTACTCAGATTCACCAATTTTTAACATTTTGTCATTTGAAAAATTATTCTCTATAAATGTGTTTATTTGTTACATACATAAATATTCATATACAAACGTGAAATGCACACATTATACACTTGTTTTCAACCTTCTGAGAGCAGACTGCGAGGGGTAATGCTCTTTTACCCCTTAATACTTTAGTGTCTATTCCCAAGGAATAAGGATATTTTCCTACGTAACCACAGTATAATTACCAATTTCAGAAAATATAGCATTGATTTAATACTTTAATCAACAATCCATATTTCAGTTTTGTCAGTTGTCCCAATAATTTCTTTACATAGCATGTTTTTTCCCTTATGATTTAATTTAATTTTTTGAATATATAGAACATTAGCCAGCTTCCAAAAGTCTAAACTATCCAGAATTTGTACTCAAATCTTACTCCCTTCCCTATCCGTTTCATTCCTTCCTCCTCCACCCATTGTAGGTGAATGATTCCATTCTTGTTTATCCTTTCTGCATTTCTTTTTGCTAAAATAAGTGGGTTTGTGTATTTTTTAATTTCCCCTGCATTCTTATACAAAAAGTTGTATGCTATGTATATACTTTTTTCTCCTCTGAATAATATGTCCTGGAAATTACTCCATATAATTTTATAAAGATCTTCCTCTTTCATAGCTACATAATACTCCATTGAGTTTAAATACCATCGTTTATTGTATCTTTCCCCTCTATTTGGGTATTTTAGTAGTTCCCATGTTTACAATTATACAAATAATGCTGCAATATTAACATTGCGTGTTAGTGTTTTCATATTTTTTGGAAGTCTATCTTCAGACTAAATTCCTAAAAGTTGGGATTGCTGGGTGAAAAGGTAAACACATATGTAGTTTTGTTAAATATTGCCAAATTCCCTTCCACAGAGGTTGCACGGTTTTGCATTTCTGCCAACAATGTGTGAGGCTATTTCTCTATAGCCTCACTGTCAGAATTTATTGTCAAGCTTTTGATTTTTTGCCAATCTAATGGATGAGTATCTCAGTGTAGTTTTAATTTGCATTTCTGCTATTATGAAGTTGAACTTGTAAAAATATGTTTAAGGGCCACTTGCCTGTTCATGTATGTTGTCCATTTTTCTAGGATTTTTGATATCTTTTCCCCCCTTCAATTAAAAAAATTTTGTATTAAGGATATTAGCCCTTTGTCTATAATATATTGCAAAAATCTTTTTCAATTCTTTTTGTATTTTGATTTTGCTTTTGGTGTTTTTTTGAAATGTGCTGGTTTATTTTTAGTGTAGTCAAATTTATCCCTTTTTTTTTTTGGCATTTGGACTTAAATAGTTAGAAAGCCTTACTCTATACCCAGGATCTAGAAGATTTCACCCATGCTTTCTTTTTGTACTCTTACAGTTTAATTTCTTTTACATTTAGGGTTCTGATCCATTTAGTTTACTCTTGTGTAAGGTTGTGAGGAATGGATTTAATTTTATCTTTTACAAATGGCTATCCAGTTGTCTGTACATCATTTATTAAAAGTGCGTCTTTGCCCCAGTGATTTGAGATGTGCTAGATTTTGCTATGTAGGGGGTCTATTTCTGGGCTTTCTTTTCTTTTCCGTTGGTCTGTCTGTCTCTTCATGCACCAGTAGCACAAAGTTTAAATATAGAGGCTGTGGAGTGTGTTTTAATGTCCAGTAGGGCTAATCACCCCTGATAGCTTTTCATTTTCAGTGTTTTCCTAGCTATTCTTATATGTTTGTTTTTCTAAATGAACTTAAGTGCCAATTTCCCAGCTCCAGCAACAAAAAAGCTTTTTGGTATTTTTATTGGAATTGCATTAAAATGTATAAATTAGGAAGAACTGACATCTTGTGAAAATGTCCTGTCCAAGAACAAAGAATGTCTTTACATTTGTTCAAATCCATTTTGTGTGTTTCAGAAATGTTTTAATGTGTTCTTCATAGAGGTTATGAACTTTTGAAGTTTAATCTTTTACGTATTTTGCCTTCTGTGTTGCTATTATGATTAGTTTTTCTCTTCCATTTTATCTTATAACTGGTTATTATTTTTATGTATGAAAGCTATTTAGTTTTGCATGTTAATTTTGTGTCCTGCTAACTTGCTGAATTCTATCATTTAAATTCATTTTATCTTTGATGTTGTAGGGTTTTCCAGGTGTAATTCATGTGATCCACCAGTAGAGATATTTTTATTCCTTCTTTTCAATTCTTAAGCCTTTAATTTTTTCTCTTATCTAAGTGCATTGGCCTCCACTACCATGTTAATATATTAAAAACTGGTGAAATGCAGGCAAAGAACAGAAAATTTTTTCAATATACTTTGGTGTAACATTATGGAATTTAAAAAACTGTTGCTAAAAATAGCTCTGAAAATTCTGCTCCTCTAGGCAGGCTTTACAAATTAACCAAAGAATAACTTCATTTAAATGGAACAATACAACATGTACCCTTTTTGTGTGTGGCTTCTTTCAGACAGCATTATGTCTGAGATAGGTCCATGCTGCAGCCTCTCTCCGTGGATTGTGCTTTTTCAGTGCTTATAGCCACTTACATCCCACCAGCAATATGGGAGAGTCCTAGGTGCTCCATATCCTTGCAATACTTGGTATTCTCAGTCTTTTAAATTTTAGTCGTACTAGTGGATATATAAAAGTATCTCATTTTGGCTTTAATTTCATTTTTCTGATGATTAATGATATGGAAGAACAGTCCAAATATTTTTTGGCAATTTTTATCTCTTTTGTGATGTGTGTGTTCAAATCTTTTGCTCATTTTTGACTGGATTGTCTGCCTTTTTCTTACTGATTTCTAGGAAATATATATAAAAATATATGTATACATTTTTTACACAGTTCCTTTGTTGGATATATGTATTGCAAAATCTCCAGTCTGCGGGTTGCCTTTTCATTTTGTAAATGGTGTAACAGAAGTTCTTAATTTTAATGAAGTCCAATTTGTCAATGATTAATGATTAATGTTTTTGTGTCTTGTTTGGGAAAACCAATCCCTATCCTAAGATCATAAAGAGATTCTTCTTTGTTATCTTCTGGAAGCTTATCTGATTTTCCTTTCGAATTGAACTCTGCAGTCTGCTGGGAATTCACTTTTGCGTGTGGTGTGAGATAGGAATCGCGTGTCATTCTGTTCCTTATGGAGATGCACTTGCCCCAGCACCGTTTGTTGAAAGGACCGGCCTTTGCTCTGCAGAGCTATCTTAGTCATTAATTAAGAGACCTTCTCTATACACATCTGTTGCTGACCTCTTTATTCTGTTCCATTGCTCTATTTGGAATTAATTACTGTCGTTTTATAATGAGCCCTTTATCCACTAGAACAAGTCTTCCTTCTTTGTTTTTCTTTTTCAAGGGAGTCTTGGTAATTTTTGCCCCTACAAATTTTCAAGTAAATTGTATAATTATGTATACTGCTTGTGACCTAATACAAGGTTTTAACAAAAAACTGTCTAGTTTCAGTTTGGTTATAATTCTTAACTACTGTCAATTGCAATTGATTTCATTTAAACTGATCTTATTCCCAGACTTGATGTTTCCTTTGACAATCAAAGAAACTGGTTACCAGAGTAAAGCTTAGATTAGGAAGTGTGTGACATTAGGAAGATATCCTATCCTTGCTAGAATCTTTCTATTTCCCACCTGAAATGCTACCAGCCTCGTGTAACGGGTTTAATGTTCCTTTGACCATTCGTGACATAGCCCAATCAAGAGAGGGTAATAATGTTTCTTATGCCTCCACCTCATACCCACCTTCCCTTCCTCAAACCTGTTTAAAGTGTGTGCTGTCTTTCTTTCCCTTCTCTTTTGAGACCCTGCCTACATTTACAAAACAATCAATCCAGGCTTTCTTCCAGGTCTGATCCTCACTGCCCAAACACCCTCTGTCTCTCCATGCCCTAGTTTCCTTCTATCTTCACTTCTAGCTCCCTACCATAGGCATCTCCTTATATTCTGCAGTGGTCCCTTCTCATCAAATGCAGCAGATGCTAGAGGAAGGAGTTGAGGAAAGGAGGAAAATGAAGGAGAGAGCTTCATTGACTTGCTATTCCATGCCAGGTCAAGGTGTGTGTGTGATATATATATCATTAGTCTATGACATCACTATAAAGTAGGCATTACCTTTTTTTTTTTAATAGATAAAGCTTAAACATAAGGTCACACAGCTAATAAATGGTGGAGCTGAGATTGAAATCTAATTCTGTCTGAATCCAAATCTCATTCTTTCTTCATGACCACACTGCCTCCGATTAACTGAGGCATGTCCCAACTTAACAGCTAAAAATGTTAGCCTCCAATCCTGATGTCTCTTTGAACAGGGACTATACAGAGAAGAAGGACAAAGTCCAAGGGAGAATGTGAGTTGGGTCTGAAGTTAGAGCCTGGCCCAGGGCAGTGAACCCCAGGAGGAGAGCCTTCCCTCGGAGAGAGACATTTCAGATGGCTGCAGGGGTTCATATCCAACAATGAGTAGTAAATATGGGTGATCCTTTGACCAAGTTCTTGTGATATTGAAAATGTAGATGTTTTCCAGTTGGTTTAGATAGAATCTAAAAAAGATGATAAACTGAGAATAGGATTTCGCTGGGATTCTCAGGATTGACTTAGTAAGTTTAGTGTGTCCCTTAATAGTGATTTCCCACAGGAAGTGTTTCTACTTTTTGTTTATTTCCCCCCAGTCACGTTTATTGTTTTTTTATGATTATAAAAAATTATTCCAGGAAATCCCAAATGTATTAAACAGCATAAAGAAAATATATATATTTGTGAATTTAGCTATTTTGTTCCTTTAAATAAAATCTTTGATGTGAACTTGTGGGATATAGGGTGTGGTTATATTTAAAGACTTGGTAAAAATTGACAAATTACCTTGTTGAATGGCCAAAGGACATGAATTTAAAAATGACAGACTGGAAATGCAAATGACTTATAAGCCTAGGACTTATTAGTAATTAAATTAAACTTTAAGTGACATATCATTTTTAACTATCAAAATGGAATTTTTTCACTCATTCAATATTGAATGTCTAAGCAAATGCCAGAAAAAAAAAAAACACATGGACATGACCTCATGGAACTTTTAGTCTAAAAGAAATACATCATTTATTGAACTCTTTTTGTGTGCCAGGAATGTCCTAAGCACTTATAAACATTATTGCATCTAATTACCACAAAACTCTGTGGGGTAGGTATTTTTACCTATTGAATGGGGAAGCAGATGTTCAGAGGTGGGCAGATGAGCTGAGGATTGAAGCCCAAAGATCTCACCATTAGCTTCTGGGTGAAGATTTTTAAAGCTTAAAATCAATGGAAGAAACCTTTTACAATGCATTTCAAAGAAAATCAAATGACTAGATGTTGCTAAGGGTGTAGTGAAAGAGGTGCTCATGTTGCTAGTGGGAGCATCAATGGGCAAATCCTTTCTGCAAAGCAATCTTGCAAAATTATCATAAGGCTTAAAATATTTTCATCTCCTTTACCTGGAATTCTATTTTTTGGATTCTACCCTAAGGAGAGAATCAAAAATATGGTTAAAGATTTATGTACAAATCTGACTGAAGATTTGAGAAAAAGTAGAGTTTATATGTATGTGTGCATGTGCATATATATTATATAGAGTCGAATATATATTAGAGTCAAATATTATACATCTATATAATTTGCAGATTAAATGATATAATGATATAGTTTACAGAGGAGAGCAGTCAATCTTTACCTATAATAGATTCCTTATTATTGTCACTGTCATAGATGGGTCACTGGTCTGATCAGCCAACTGGCCTGCTGTGACCCACACGGCAGTTTTTGGTTGTATGTAAGGAGATCATTGGCAGAGAGGAAATCAAAGTGCTGGCTTTGTCATTTATAGCCTATCCGGCTGCTGCAGGGAATAGCCAGTTGTGTTTATAGGAGATACTTCCATTGTCAAGGAGTGATGGTGAAATTAGCAGCTCTGCTTTAGTTCTGCGAGTCTTTGGAATTTTCTGTCATTAAAAAACTCTATTTATGCTTTCACATATTCCTTCATTAAATATTTAGTAGGAGCCTGCTCTGTGCCAGGCACCACACTAGGCTTGGTTTGAATGATGAAAAGAACAGAGTGCCCGCACCTGAGGAAGCTCAGTCTAATGGGAGAGGCCGGCGGAGACAGTTGTTACATCGTGTGCAAAAGGCCGTGGTAGAGGTGAGCTCAGGATGAACCATCTGACCCAGGCTGGGGCTCCACAGGCTTTCCAGAAGTCACTTGCTGCTAAGATCTTTTATTTAGCAATTAAACTTCTAGGTATAGTATGAATGGTATGGTCTTTTTCCTCACACAATTTAAATTAAATTTTATTACTCTGCCCTTAATTTCAGGCTTTTATGATATCCTTAATGTGATTTTTTTTTTGAATAGTCTCAGTGGTTGGTTAATATCTGACTTTGACATTCAGATCCTACGTGTTTACTTCACCGTGTACAGTTTTTTCCTCAGAGAGGTATGATCGTCTCATTTCAGACACCACAACCTTCCTTGGTTCCACCGCCTGCAAGCTGGATTTTCAGCTATAATTGCTAGAATTTGCCTTTATCATAGCATGAACTTTAGAAAATAGAACTCAGTATAAAATTAATATGAGTAAAGACAACTTTTCTTTTTTCTAACACTCAAAATGAATGGCCTCGTGGTAATTAAAAAAAATAACCCTTATTAAAGCAATTTTCAAGACAGTGTAAGATCAATGATAGCTATTGCTTACATCCTGTGAAAATGAGTTGCAGATCCAGTGATGCTTTCTAGAAATATACTTAACAAAAATTTTACTTGGTATTATTAAAAAAAACCCCCACTAATCATCATTCTTCGCTCTATAAGAGGAAGTATTAATCAAATGGCTTAAATATCATGCTTAATTATTCTCTTTCACTTTCTGAGGATCTGATTTGAAACAAAGCACACAGCAGAAATAAAAGTAGAAAAAAATAGCTCAGTGGCAATTACGAACGTAGAATTGGAACTGATGCTAAGAAATATGAGTCAACCTGTAGGATTACAGAAAATCTCCTTGAAACGTTGATTCCATGGCTCTACCCACCAGAGGAACTGCATCTTCTGCTTGCCTCCTCAGAGACCTAATGAACAAATCCTCATTTTAAGTGGTTAACCAGCAACAGAACCAGAAAATACAGTTGTTTTTACAGAAGGTAGGTTTTATAATTGAGTTTACAAGATGATTTATATAATTTTAAATAATTAAAACTTAGATATGTCCCAGGATCCTACTAGATAGAAAAAGGAGTATTCAGAAATATTAGGAGTTGCATCCTGGATTGTCTGAATCCAGGTCCAAGGTCTCTACCACAGTAGTGCTCACTTCCACTGTCTGGGTATTGTGCTAGACTCTAGGAGATAACATGAGGAATAAGGTCATGCCTGGCCTAGAAGAGCTGACAATTTAGTGGGAAAGACAGATAAGTCACAAATGGTAAGTGTACAGCAAGGGAAGTGCAATGTCAGAGAATGGATCACATGTTATGGGAACCCTTTTAAATGAGTAGATTTGGGGACACTGACTCTGCTTGTTCTGGGATTGTGGCAGTCAAGGCAGAGAGTCTTCACAGAAGAGACAACACTTTGAGCTGGGTCTTTAAGAAGGAAGAGGCATTTTTCTGGCCATAGGATGGGAAACAGGATGAATCTAGACAGAAATAGCATCTTCACATACATAGCATCATGAAATTGTTGGGCTGTGAGATGACCCCAAGATTCTAACCATGGAGAACAAGTACAAGAAAGTGAGGGAAGAGTGGGATATAACGAGTTTCGTTCGGAACTTGCTGAATTTTAAGTGTGCGTGGGTTTTCCAGGTGGAAATGTCCAATCAACAGTTGAATATATAATGTAGATCTGGAGCTTTCAAGAGAGGTGATAAGTGGAGATACAGATCTTGGAATCATTGGTGAATGATGGCTAAAACCAGTGGAAGTGGCTGAGATCACCCAGGGGGACATTTAATTCAAGAGGAGCAGATAATGGAGGATCACAGCCTGGAGCGCCAACACTAACTAGAAGTCCTGTGGTACAACTAATGCTACCATTTATCTACATTATGGGGTACATGGGCTGCTATGAGTTGGCCCAAGACCCCGCCGCCATTTATAAAACTTTCTATGTAAAAGTGCAGAGCAAGTTCAAGCAACTTACAAAGTAATTTGGGGTCACAAGTTGTAAATTGGAGCTTGGATGTACTGTCTCTGCTTAAACATACCTCTGTACCCTGTGGCTCCTAGTGTAACCTGCCCACACACTTTGTGTTTTTATTGCATTTGAGAGTATCTTCAGCTATCTGTGGTATTTCAGGTCTACTTGATTCATTTCTAACTCAAATATGATGACATCCAACTTTTTCCATTAAAACAGGCAAACTTGAGTGACTGTGGCTTGCCTGGCATGGTGCTAAGTGCTCTTTCTTGCCCTCTGCCAATGTGATGGGCACCAAAGAAGACTTGTGGGTGTGGTGAGCTTTTAACTCAAGTAGGACCTTTTGGGAAACAATATTGGTGTTAAAGCAGCAATTGCTGATGGTGCCAGGAATATTGATGTGGTGAGACTCTCAGAAATGCCTCTTTCTAAGACCTCTGTGGGGTATTATTATTCTACAATTCTTTGTCTAGTTTTCATTAAAATACTTGTGAAGTGATTTTCTATTTTCCTCTTTTGTTTCAAGTCCATTTGAAAGAGTTAAACACTAACCTCTCTCCTCTCAGTTCTGTTTAATACGAGTGACTACTATTTGAGACAAATGCAATTACTATCTGGCGCATAGTGGCTTTACACTGTTTCCTTGGTCTTATTCAGAAGGCACAAAAGAAGGAGCTGCTTCATTCTGTAAGAGCACTTTGTGTCTTCCTATATCTCCTTAGTAATAGCAATGGTAACATTATGGGACTGGTAAAACCTCTGAGGAAGGAACTTCTCTTAATAACTTAGTCTTAGTGTGGGGTGGATGGAGGATGTTCTTGTTTCATTAAGCACTGGGTTGTTCCAGCATTTCAGGATACACTGGGGACAGTGATGCTAGGCTGGGAACTCTGGAGGCCCAGGCCTGGCTGAGAGGAGAGCCAAAGGCCTGGGAAGAGCAAGTGATTCTAGACTTTGTGCCTAACCTTGGATATTGTCAGTACCCTCTACCCCTTCAGAGCACACCAATCCAACTTCCAATTGCCAGCACCAGTATTTCTTTGCCTGAGGGCCTTCTCTTGCCTCTGGAGCCCACTTCAGCTGCCTACTTGGCAGGCTGGAAGTTTAGGAGAATTATCACACCCCTGAGAGCAGCCTTCAACCAATGATTGACAGGAGTTGGTGCTTAGATACCCAGTTCCCTCACCCACTGGCTTGGATAGCTGACGGATATGCTTGACACTGGCTTTCCCAGCAGGCTGACGCTCTAGTCACCCACTGTGGTAGCTGGCCTGACAACACCCTCTTTATTGGCCGCCATCCCTTTCTTGTCTCACTTTTCCACTCCCCTACTGGTATTCACCTTCACCTCCTAAATCAACCCTTGCACTGGAATCCTTTGCTTCTGTGGAAAGCTAAGAACTAAAATATGTTGCCTCGTCTTTCAGAGAGAAAGTTTCACGCACCTGGCACAGATGCCTTCATACCTATAAGGTGGGCATGGTGAGCAAGGAATCAAAGGGAAGGCAGTAGTCAGTGGTCCAGATTATGAGTGTGCCTGTCACAGAGCCCAAGCAGGGCTCTTGGAAGACAGCGCTTGGAAGAGCATTGCATACCTACCTTTGACTTCCTTCTCTGTGCGTGATGCTGACTAGCCCTCTTGTGCCCATATATTCTTTCTCAACACTAGGCACAATTCAATGAACCAGGACTCTGTTTTCTAAATTACCATCACATTCAAGCCTTGCCTCCCTGAGATGGTGCCAAGTATCTTGATGGAGCATCAAGTTCATCTTGAGTTACATGTTTACAGGCAGTCTCCTGGTTTCTTTCCTGTAGCTAAATACCTTTGATTTCATCTGCCTGGCACCCCTGTCCCTTCTCCTAGGAACGGCCGCACAGTCTTCCATTCCAACCACATAATTCTGTGGGATCTGCCAGGCCCGTCAGCAGAATTGAAGGACATATGCTTGCCATCCTCTCCCCCAGACATAATGGCTTAAAGAGTGAATGAGACTTGAAAAACTAGAGACAACAGTGGACTTTTTGAACTTGCTGATAAAATAATGGAGAAAGGTAGGCTCAAAGCTCTAGGAGGAGTTAAGGTCAAAGAAGAATCTTTTGTGTTCTTTGTATTTGACTTCAAACAAACTGAAAACTTGGCAGTCATCCTGGATTCCTCCCTCTAATCTTAGTCAAACTTGCTCCTCCCCTTGCCAGCACCTTGATTCAGGTCCTCACCTCTGCTCCTGGATCACTAGAACAACCTTCCGACCTCCTGCCTCAAGCCACGGCCCCTCTCTTCTCCAGTTGCTGGAGTATTCTTTCTAAAATGCAAATCTGATCTTGTCTGTCTGTACTTACAGCCCTCTGTGGATTCCTGTTGCCTGCAGGAAATCGTTCAAATTCTTTTGAGGATTTCAAAACTGCTGCAGCTCTTCTTGTTCAGGCCCTGCCCACCTCTCCAGCCCTCTCTCTCCACTCATCCCTTTGCATAACACGCACTAGCTCTTTCCATTTCTGTGGTTGTGGAATGTGCTATACTCACGCTCACCTCCATGGCTTTGCATGTACCATGATTCCTTCCTTATGGAATACTCCCTCTTCTTCCCTCTGCCTCCTCCTCCATGACCCCACTGTCTCTTGCTGGTCCTTTAAGACTGAGCTGAAGTGTCGCTTCCTCTGGGAAGACTTCTCCAACTCCCTCCCACCTGAGTAAGTGCACCTTGTATTTTCCTATGGTGACACCAAACCATTTTCTAATTGCTTATTAATAGGAGAGCTTGACCTGTGTCCCTGGAGATCAAGGAGGTCTAGAAGCTGATGTCTAGCTTTCCTGGAAAAGTTTGAGTGAGCAGTGGCTGGGCTTTGTCTCATGGCCCAGGGAGAAAAGAGGACTTTGGTGGGAGGGGCCTGTTGTCCAGGTTTTGGGTGGAACAAAGGGACAGGCTCTCCCCTGGGCCAAGTGGACACTTCAGAAGGTACTTGGGCTTGAGTCATTTGGTGGAACCTCTGCTCAAGGGCACTGCTGAGCAGGATGAGATGACAATAGAAAGAGTCTACATAGAGTTTGCCAGTAGAACCAGGTGAGAGGGCAGTTACAAGGAACCAGCCAATTATTGCATCTCTACCATCAGAGAGCAATGTAGTGGGAGAGCCATACAGGGGTCCCTGGAAACCCCACATAGAGGAAAAGGAAAGCTTTTCACCAAGGCCAGAAAACTTAAGCAACTTGCCCAGGATTTCACAGCTAGGAAGTGACAAAGTTGGGATTTGACCCTGATTACACAGGATCAGGTCAGTGGGTGGCCAGACAGGGCTGACTGGGGGAGAGACTTGACAGTGGGAGTTTTGGGTGAGCTAGATATCAAGATTTCCTGGAAAAGGAGGCAAGTAAGAAAAAACAACACGGGTAACATTCCTTACTGCAGCTTCAAAAAGTTCCATGGCAGAAAACTCAGTTACCCAAGAAGTGGGCACATGGCTACTTAGCCCCTTTGATTCTTGGATCCTGTCAGAAGAGTTTCCTGCTTTGAAGAGTTTCCTTGAAAAGCAAAGCCCCCTACATTCTTCAGCGATGGAAGGAAACAACCTAGGAAGCCCTTCAGCCCGTCTGAAGTCTGGTCACTCAAGGGGCTTGGAGAAACCGTAGCATCTATTTCATTGTTCACCTTGTTCCCGGAACCGTCAGGACTCAGTGATCCTCCTCAGTATTAAAACGGTGGCAGGGCTGAAGCTCAGGAGGAAACAAGTGGAATTTATCCCTGTCGCTGAATAGGGAGCCGCCTGCAGCAGGTGGACCCAGTCTTTGCAGTATGCCCCCACACATCCCAACTCACCCCGTGGGCGCCTTCCACCTGCCTGCCTGCTCCCTTTACAATAACGAGGCTTAAGCAGAAACAAAGTGAACGAGTGTGCTTTAGAGAAACAGTCCTGGCCGCCCCCCGGAGTTGTATTTCTGGAGTAGGAGCGGGTTGGGGGTGGGGGAGCAGCCGTGAAGCTCGCAGAGCGGGAGCGCGTCACCGTCGCCTCCAGAGATGCTGCGCTGCCCAATAGGCAGGGGCGGTCGCTCGCAGCCCGGTGGGAGCAGAGACATAAAAGTGCGGAAACCAGCCCGGAGCGCGCCGATCGAGGGCTGGAGGCTAGCGGCGAGCGGGCGCCGCCGGGCGCTGGAGGCCCCGGGGTCCCTCCCCGGCCAGCCCCGCGCGCTCCTCTCCGCGCGCCCGACTGCACGCGGCCTGGCAGGGACGTCCGGACTGCACTGTCCCGGGCGCAGCGGCTCTGCAAAATGGTCCTTCACTTCGTGCTGCTCTTCCTCCTCCCATTGGTGCGAGCAACCGAGCGCCCCGAGGGCCGGATGGACGAGGAGGGCCTGGAGGCGGCCCTGGCCGTGCCCAACGCCTCGCACTTCTTCTCTTGGAACAACTACACCTTCTCTGACTGGCAGAACTTTGTGGGCCGGAGGCGCTACGGCGCCGAGTCCCAGAACCCCACGGTGAAAGCCCTGCTCATCGTGGCTTACTCCTTCATCATCGTCTTCTCGCTCTTTGGCAATGTCCTGGTCTGTCATGTCATCTTCAAGAACCAGCGAATGCACTCGGCCACTAGCCTCTTCATCGTCAACCTGGCCGTGGCCGACATCATGATCACTCTCCTCAACACCCCCTTCACTTTGGTAAGGCCGGAGGGCTGGGCGGGCGCCCCCCTGCCCCTCTCAGTCTCGTTCTCAGCTTTTTCTCTCTCTCAATTCTCTGTCGTCTCTCTCTCCACCTGGATTTCTCTTCCTCCTTATTTCTCTGTCTCCCTCTTCTGCCTGTCTTCCTGCCTTCATCTTTCTTAGTCTTTTTTCTCTCTTGCTCTCTTAGCTCTAAATTCTCATCTCTCAACTCTCTCTGTTTTTCTGTCTCAGATTTTGTCAGTCTCTCTCTATCATTCTGTTTGTCTTTCTATCTCTCTGTCTCTGTCTCTCTGTTTGTCTCTCTCAGAAGTCTTTCTCTCTCTCTCTCCTCTGCCACTCTTTCTGTGTGTTCATCTGTTTTCCTCTCTGTGACCCTGTCTTTCCCTGTCTCTGTCTCTAACCTCACCTTTCCCTCTGACTCTTTCTGCTTGTCCATCTCTCTGTGGTTTGTTTTTCTGTTCTCTCTCTCTCATCACCTTCTAAGCCAGAGCTTCTGCAGCTGGTGGCATTGGGGTCAGTGATTGTGTGTCTGCAGCCAGCTGTGAACGAGTGACCATTTCCTGTTTAATGTCACTGAGCATGGGCCTGTTTGATAATCAAGCGGTACATTGAAGCCCCTTGAAATGTCAGCAGAGATTGTTAGGTGACACCCCCCCCCCCCCACAGCTCATTAAATGCCACCCCCCTCTGCCATGGGAGGCAGCTTTGCGCCACAGCTGAAAAACCAAGCAATTGCTAATTGTTAATGGAAACTTAAGTGCATTTTCCTGGACCACTTATTCAAATTGTGTTTTGCTTCTGTGTTTTGACAATGAGGCTGTGTTGGAAGGCTGTGCTGGCAAAGAGAGGAGGGTGAGGGGGGCTTGGGCCCAGGGGCAGCCCGGGGGCTTTTGCATACGGTGGTGGTGAGCCTCCTCCCCAAGCCCTGGCCACTCGGCATTAGTGGAGTCATTTCTGTCGCTCTGTGACTTGGGAGTGTGGTACTCAGATGATTTGGGACTGTGAGGGTTATGACTGAGCAATCGTAATGACAATTATGCCTTATGTTTCTGTAGCATAAATCACATTTTTGCAATGTATGGAATAGCCTTATTGTTATTTCAGTTATTACTAAAGCAGCATCTGTCCATTTCCCTCTGTGTCTATCTCTTTCTCTGTCTCTCTTTCATGCACACACACTCAACCAGAAAGAACAGAGAAGCAAAAAAGAAGACGGTGAACTCCCATCCACCTGTGTGAACATCGTTCCAAATCTTACATTTTAAAACTACATTCTCTCTCTTGTCCTCACATATGAGGACATTACTCACATTTTGCAGATAAGGAAACTAAGGCACAGAGAGGTTCAATCCCTCGTCCAGGGTCACTCAGCTAGTAATTGGCAGAGCCAGGATGAGAATTGTTTCCCCTGACTCAAGTCCAGAGGTCTGTCCACTAAGCCATCCAACTGAGGACAGGGGGGCACTCTTGGACCGTGCTAAGCTTCCACTACTGCAAACCATGGACGTTGCCTGCTCTCTTTCTAGCCTACGTTTACCCGATTCTTGGCCACTCAGGATCCTCTGGGCACTAGCCAAGGAACCAGGGACTTCCAAATGCCCCACCCATAACTGCCTCCTGCTGCCTTGAAGCACGGAGAGTGCATCTCTGGCTCTCCTTGGCTCCCCTCTTGGTTTCTGACCTGACAAACTGCAATACTGGGGTCGGGCTGGACTGCCCAGGATGGGAACTGGAGGGCCTCAGGGCATGGCCCTTGTGCTGCTGCACAGAGCAGGATGCACACTTAGATCTGCAGTAGACACAGGGCTGTGGAGAGAGAGGCTGTGGACCCCGGGTCAGGCTGCAGTGAGAGCTGATAACTCTTGCCCCAGAGGATCTCCTGTGAGAGAGGGGATGTCAAGGTCCTGAGAAGCCAGCACCCTTTCCAAGATGATCCACAACAGCTTGGCCTTGAAGCTGACCCATGTAACTGCTCCAATCCCAACTCCCGTCAGAGCTTACAAGGTGCTGGCAACCAGGGAGAGTGAAAGGTTTGGGGGAGGAGAGTGTCTTCAAAGCCCTCAGCCGTGCTTCCCCACTGGGTAAAGAGTCCTGCCTTCGGGCTGGCTGGTGACAGTATCCTTCCTCCCTGGTCTCCCTTCCTGTCTACTTTGCACACAACAATCAGCCTGAAGTCCAGCTCCGGTCGCTGAGAGGCAAGCGAACAGTTGCTGACTATTTCCATGGCAGAGACAGACACAGAGTGTGGTGGAGCCTGCAGGAGGAGTCATTCCTTCTGACCCGCCAGAGTCCTACAAGAGGGTCCAAAGAGTCTGTACAAGGAATGTAACATTTCAAAGGTGCCTGGATGAGGAGGAATTTCCCAGGTCCAGATGAAAATTCGATGCGGACACAAGGACCCGGGGGAACAAAGGCAGGGCAACAAAATTCACGGTGTGTTGAGGGAATGTTGGGTGGCTCATTGTAGCTGGAGCCACAGAGGCAGGAAGCACAGTGAGGGAGCGGGCCGGGGAGGAGGGAGCTGAGGTGGACGAGAAAGGAAGGCTGGGGCCAGGTCGTGAACGGACCTGGACACTCCTAAGGCACCTGGCTCTGTCCTGAGGGCCGTGATGATTCTAAGCAGAAAGGTGGCAATAAAGTGATTTGGGGTTAAGAAAAGTACTGTTATCCATGTGAAGGCTGAATTACAAGTGGATGAGAGACTGGAGGACGAGGAAAGCTCTTAGGAGGCTCTAATAGTCCAGGTGTGGGATGATGGGAGACTCCACTAGAGCCACGGCCTCGGGACTGAAGAAGAGGAAATGGATTTGAAAACCACTTGGAGTTAGCACTGGTTGGCTCTGGTAATTCATTGAATGTGGGAGGTGAGAAGTAGGAATAGCTAAAGATTTCTAGCTCTGTAAAGTACTAGACATTACCCTATAATGTTACTGGACTGCTCGAGAGCCTCATATGGCTCCCACCTGCCTACCCCATGGAGGGTAAAGACCATTGTCTGCTGTCCTAGTTTCATGATTTGGCCAGACTTGTCCCTCAAGACTCTTCCACTCACTCCAGCCAAACCATTCCACTCCTTATTACCCAAACAGGTCCTGAGATTTCTGACCCAGTGCCAACCATTTTGTTCTTATCTCCATGTGTACACATCTGACCTATGCTTTAAAGCTCATCTCAAATGTCTCATATGTTATAATAATGGCCATTAGGAGTGTTAAGTACTTGCTAGATACTAGGCACAGTTGTACCTACTGTGTACTGTACATATGTTATCTTTCGTTTGATTTCCATAACAACCCTGTGAACAGAGTTGGCCCCATTTTACAGATGAGGGAAGTGAGGCTCATAGAACCTAAGTGCCTTGCCCAAGGTGACAGCAGTAAGTGGCAAATACTCAGCTGTGAACCACTATATGATAGCCTTTCTGCAGGGTTATCTGCTCTGTTTTTTTCTCTATCATCTCTCTCTCTGCCTCAGCTCACACCCACCCCCCGCAGTGGCCCCAGTGCCCTTTGTCTGGGCCTTCTGTAGGGCACTGAATACTTTCTGTCTTGCACCCAAGGTAGCTTCTGCCCAGCCTGGAAGCTCCTTGATCAGAGTTGATGCTCAATCTCTCTCGGACATGGGACATCACTCACAGGAGCTGCTCAAGTACTGAGTGAGTGAGCAAATAGCCATGGATGATGTGGGATGAGGCGTAGGACTGCTCCTAGAGCCCCGCACTGTCCCAGGAGCTTGTCTTCTCTCCCCACCCTGCCCCTTCCTGCCCCTGCCCACACCTTTCCAGGCCCCTGTGTCTCCTTCCCAGATGATGTGTTGCAAGGCCTGCTCAGCCAGCAATCAAGAGCACAGCCCATATGCTATGTTGAGACTTTTCAGATGTGTCTCGCCCATTAGTCTGAACTCATATGGGACAAGAATAAATTTTATTATTACCATAAAAATAGCTACTATTTATTATGAATAATATCTTTCTAGCAATCCACCAGACTTTGTGTTCCACCCTTTATAGACTTTTAAAAAACTTAATCCTTCCAATAAACCTATAAGGAAGAGATTTTTAAGCCTTTTTTTGCAAATGAGGAAACTGAGGTTCAGAGAGGTTACATACTTTGTCTAAGGTCACACAGCTAGAGACTTTAGAGCTGGGAAGTTCAACTCTAAAGCCCATACCCTTCCCACACTCTCCTGGCACTAACGGAGCCTGGCCCCAGCACCATGATTTGGATTTGTTGAATTGAATGATGAAGAATGAGTTGTGCTGGAGAAAGTCATGTGTGATCACAATTCAGCAGTGTAGAGTGGAAGAAGGGAGGAGCTGGAAGAAGCCTCCTGAGGGATGCTCCTCAGAGACCACAGTGGGTGAGTGTGAGGGTCAAGGCCCGCCTGTCTCCTGACCTCTGTGGGCTTGTCTCTAGGTCCGCTTTGTGAACAGCACGTGGGTGTTCGGGAAAGGCATGTGTCACGTCAGCCGCTTCGCCCAGTACTGCTCCCTGCACGTCTCCGCGCTGACGCTGACGGCCATTGCCGTGGACCGCCACCAGGTGAGGCCACCTACCCCCAACGCCCTGTCCTTTCCTCTCTGGCTTTGCTTTTCACAGGGCTGCGGGAGCTCTCAGGACAATGTTTTAGCCCATTTTCCAATGAGGATATTTGTCTTCTTATTGACCGATTAGATTAGGCATGTTAAACCCTTTGTGCTAGGTGCTGCAAACAATTCTTACCAGTTTGTTGTTCTGATGAAGACTCACTGCCAGCATTTTGCTTGTTTTAGGGGTAGAAAAGCAAACCCGGAAAAATCACAGATGAAAGGGAAGTGGCAAGTAATTTTAGGTCAGAGACGAGGCTCCTGACTGGGAGATGGACATTCCCTGGCCCGGCTCTTGCGGAGGAAAACAAGCTAGTACTGGGTGAAGCGGCTGGCAGGTCCAGGTGGCAGGAGCAGGCATGGGGGTGGGGCAGGAAGGCCCCAATCACTGTCCGTGCCCCATTGGACTCATGAGTGGGTATGGTGAAGGAAACTGAAGAGGACCTGTGGGCGCCTCTCCTGGAGGAGGATGGCTGCAGGGTAGTTGCCTCGCGCATGCTAACTCAGTGAATCCATGTCGCATACTCAGGTCTATGCTGAGTCAAGGAATGGAAACTCAGGAAGCTGCCTACATAGCTTTCCCAAGTTCACACACTTGGTGAACGATGAAGCTAGGATTAGGGCTGAAGTCTGTCTGGCTCCAAGCCCATGCTCTGATCACTAGACCACCCTGCTGTGAGGAGACTCAAGGGCACCCACAGGGCCAATGTCATAAGGACCACCAGGACAAAGAGAGAGAGAGAGTTTATTCTGAGTAGCTCCAAGAGGTGCAACAAGGACCAGGGATAGGGGGCTTCAAAGACGCAGATTCGAAGATGCAGCTCAATAGGAAGAAGGATTTCCTAGCAGACTGTCCGAAGGTGGACCAAGCACCCTGGGGAGGTAATGTGTTACACGTCACAAGCCATGTTTAAGCAAGGTCTGGATGATCGCTTGACAGGGATGTTCTAGAGGAGAGTTGTGCATCTGATAGAGAATTGGACTCAGCAAACTCTGAGATTGCTTTATCCCTGAAATGCCATCCTTTTGGCATTTATATTACAGATGTTTTCTTACAAAGTGTGAAAAGTTTGCATACAGGTATTTCTTGCCTCTTTTTAACCTTCTCCCCTAATTCAACAAGAGGGGTTACCTTTTACTGGCCTATGCTTACCTGCATTTAACACAGCTAGCTGACACTTGATCCTTGGGCCAAGGGTGGGTCTAAGGAACAGGGGGTAAGCCTTGCCTACATATGTCACAGCATTGCTGTGACATATACCCAAACATAGGACCCTGTCCCAAAGCCAGCGGAGTATTTGGGACCTCTGACCCAGGCTTCCACTTCCTTCAGCAACCTGAACAACGAAGAGTATTAGGGACAAAGATGGCAAAGTCCGGAATGGAGGTGTGCTGGGCACCTTCTAAAATTTAGTCACTTGTTCCTGTAAAACCTTGAAAACATTGGAGAAAAATTTGGGAGGAAAAAAAGTCCTCAGGTCACAGCCAGAATGTCCAGTGTGTCCTGGGATGGCATCCTGACTCAGGGCAGCTCTTTATGACCTCTTTCCCTGACGGTGGACTTCCCTGTCCCAAAATGCCTTTTTCAAGAAATAATGGTTCTAGTCTTAAAATGAGGATGCTGTTAAATTTCCAAGTCTTTATTTAAACCTTTTTGGAGAATTGATTGGCACGCACATACAGTAGCAATTCCAAGATGCTTTTCAGCCTGAAGCCGATAACACTGGCTTTATTACAAGTGTGGGAAAGCTGGGCCCCATTGCAATTTTAGAAACGGCTTTCATAAACAGTGTTTTGAACTCCCAAATAAATGTCAGTGCAGCTTCCCGTGCTAAGTGGTGAGAGTCTCCTCTCCATGTTTGTCAGACCCTCTCGGAGCCCTTCATAACCTAAGGAGTCTAGAATCATGGGGAGACAAGATCAGATCCTGCCTGAGGTGGAGGCGGACCATGGCTGGTTCCTCTGCCAGCCTTGCTATGGAGGCCGTGCAAGCAGAACACACCCGCCCCACTGCCGTCCTCTCACTGCACCCTGGTTCTGCCATGAATGACCTGCCAAGAGGCATTTGAACTGCCTGGAGCCCTGAGTCCTGATGACACCCTCTTTCTACCCCTGGATGTGGGCTGTGGGCGGGACACGGCTGGAACGCCCCACCTGCCTGCTGCAACTCAGGGCTCAATGAGTGTACGAGATGCCTGTCTTTATAAATATGACCTACCTGCTTAATTGTGACAAGTAAGCTGCGACGTCTGGATTTCTCATTTGTTTCAAACTTCTTCAGTCAGTGATGCACACAGTTTGCTTGTTTTCCAGGTCATTATGCATCCGTTAAAACCCCGCATCTCCATCACAAAAGGTGTCATCTACATCGCAGTCATCTGGACCATGGCTACGTCCTTTTCACTCCCACATGCCATCTGCCAGAAATTATTTACCTTCAAGTACAGGTGAGATTAACTAGGAGGGAGCAGCCTGGGGACTGGGAGGAACTTGACAGAGGGAAATCTCAGCCCCTCTGGGATCTGAGAGTGACAGTACCTGCCACACCACACTGTTCTCTTTGCCTCTCTCCTAACCTGTTGCTTCCAGGCCTGTGCCTATCCTCTGCATTTCTCCTGCTTTTTCTTGTCTTTTCTTCTCCACAACTTTTGCTCCCTCCTTATTCTCTATCCCGTTTGTCTGCAAGGTCAAGGTAATAGCGATCAGCTTCTGTCACCAAGCTGACAAGACAGCTTCTGTCTGTCTCACTCAGACTGAGGCTGGAAATCACCCAGGCCTTGTTTAAAATGGCAAGGTTTCAATTCTCTCACACAACCTACAAACACAACGTACATATCTATGTGTCTGCGGCAGGATGCTCTCCTTCCCACTCAGGTTTCTTTGTCATATGCTCCCAGAATGAGAATTTCTTTCGAAGCACTCAGTTCTTTAAAACACTTGTATGTGCTACTGGTTCATTAAAGGTGCTCTCCCCCGCTAGACTGGAAGGTTGGGGAGCGCTGGCCTGTTTCTGACTTGATTGGCTAGCTTGGTGTCCCTAGCACCCAACTTACTGTCTCCACGTACCAAGCCCTCGATACATATTTACTGAAGGAGTGACTGAGTGATTTTCATCAGTCTGTAGTTGCTCTAGATGAGGTTCCTTAGAAGCAGACCTGAGATAAAGGAAGGACTCCCGCGGTGATTTATTGAGGAAGTGCTCCCCGGATAACTGGGTAAGGGAGTGGGGAGCAGGACAGCAAATAGAGGGAGACTAAGGCAGGGCGGTTTCCAGGAAGCCGCAGCCTGCTCCACAGGGGCTCTGGAGCAAACTGGTAACGCAGTTTACCCGCCTAGGGCAAAGGAGCTGGGCTTTCATAATCCAGGCCTCCCTGGGGAAAATGGGGATTCCGGGCCACTTCTGGCTCTTGGTGGATCTGTGGGAAGTGTCTTCCACAGCCTGAGGGTAGTCCTAGGCACCCAGAAGACCACAAGTGCCAGCTGTTTCTTGTACAGAGGCAAGATTTGGGGGACTGTTGCTCCAGACAAGTAAAGGGGGTCTGAGGGGACCTAGGGGAGGGCACTGCTCACGTGTCCCACAGTAGCCGTGCACTGCCCCATCTGAAACATCTGCTTACACACACTCCTATGGCGTCAGCAGGGTCCAGAGAACAAGCTCTGAAGGCCGAGGTCAACTCATTTATAAAGGCTCCCTCCCCGAGTTCTAGGACATTGGAATGAGTCACATACCCAAACCCCCCAGCATTCAGGTTCCCCATCTGCCTTCACACATGGAGGGCTATTTTTTTCCTGCTAACAAAAGCAAAGAGAGTTCTCTCTTTCTTTCACTAGTGATGGCCACCAGCACATATAACAAGAGCCAGAAGCCACATGGTGTAATGACAAAACAGCCATTTGAGTTGCTGCCTAGGCATTTGACAGCATGATAACCCTGCTCACGCCCAGAGTAAGGACCTGAGCTTAGGATTCCTGCCACACGTGTCACCTTGCTTTTCCTCGGGCACCTTTTAAAATGACCACTCAGAGTCGAGCCCATGAAAGATTAGTGACCCACACCCCAACCACCCTATAAGTAAGAAATGCTCGCTACTCTGCGTTCTGTCTCCTGTTTGCTCATGACCTAGGACGGAGGACTGCCCTCCCCCTGGCTCACTGCACCCCTGTTCTGGGATCTGTAAGTAATAAATCTTGTGACTTTACTTCCTTTGTGTGACTGTATTGAAACTGTCTTCAATCAAAATGGCCCCGGGGTTTTCACTTCCCCAAAGAGGGAGTTCTGATGCTGAGGGAACTGCCTGCCCAGCCGGTGTGGGTGGACTGTGCCTCCTCATTCAGCAGGTCATGATCTGTGTATTCATAACACACCAGCTCCAGGTTTTCTAACACACAAGGGTATCCCTAAAAAGCTCAAAGAGGACTGGATACATTCCAAAGAAAATCAATACTTGTTTTATGAGTGGCTGAAGGTATGTTAGTTCAGGCATGGCCACCTACATTCTCAAGACCCATCATTTCTTTGCCCCATTCCTTGATTCCCCTCCAGAATGGGAGCAGGTAGTGCAAAGGGGAATTTCAAGATTTCCTGAATATACTGTGCTCCCAAGATAAGTTAATTCTAAGACTAGGAACGCCAGTGTTTCATTCATTCATTGAACAAATATTTATTGGGTCTCTATTATGGGCTAGGAATAATACAAAGTTAAGTGGACACTGAGAAATCTAGGTGTATTCCTTATCTTTTATGGAACTTTATGGAACTCCCAGCCTAGTGGGGGAGCCAGAAATATAATCAGATAATTAGGCCACAGTATCAAGTGCTATAACAGACAGATGTACCAGGAGCTCAGTGGAGAAAGAGGCCAGTGCTTCTTGGGATGAGGCCTTTCCACACTAACTGCACACCCTCCTTCTGTCTCTCTCTCTCTCTCCACCTTTCTATCTCTCTTTTTCCCCTGCCCCCAGTGAAGACATTGTCCGCTCCCTATGCCTGCCAGATTTCCCTGAGCCGGCCGACCTCTTCTGGAAGTACCTGGACTTGGCCACCTTCATCCTGCTTTACATCCTACCCCTCCTCATCATCTCTGTGGCCTACGCCCGTGTGGCCAAGAAGCTGTGGTTGTGCAACACAATCGGCGACGTGACCACGGAGCAGTACCTGGCCCTGCGGCGCAAGAAGAAGAAGACCATCAAGATGCTGATGCTGGTGGTGGTCCTCTTTGCCCTCTGCTGGTTCCCCCTCAACTGCTACGTGCTCCTCCTATCCAGCAAGGTCATCCGCACCAACAATGCCCTCTACTTCGCCTTCCACTGGTTTGCCATGAGCAGTACCTGCTATAACCCCTTCATCTACTGCTGGCTCAATGAAAACTTCAGGATCGAGCTGAAGGCATTACTGAGTATGTGCCAAAGGCCACCCAAGCCTCAGGAAGAACGGCCACCTTCCCCAGTCCCTTCCTTCAGGGTGGCTTGGACAGAGAAGAGCAAGAGCCGGAGGGCTCCGCCAGCCAACAACCTCCTACCCTCCTCCCAACTCCAGTCTGGGAAGACAGACCTGTCGTCCATGGAACCCATCATGGCAATGAGTTAGAGGAGAGTGGGAAGAGGCAGGAGGAGGGCTCTGTCTCCAGCTGAGGTTAGGAAAGAGCCTAAGGACAGAGCCTGGAAAAGAGCCTATCTCTCAAACTTGACCTTTGCAGTGCTGGAAACAAGTTCCTGCAGAAGCCATAGGCCTCTTGAGTTCCTAGGAAACTCTGCTCAGTCTCCTAGCCTCATTGATGTGAAAACTAAAAGGCAACTACCAGCTAGACACATGTTTGTGAAATCCTGTCTAAGAAGCTCCACAAGGCATATCATCCTGGATCTCTGAGCCAGAGACCCCACAACAGCTTCAGCCCAGCTGGAGGCTGAATCAGTCAACTGCCTCCAACTGTCAGGCAGCTGCCTCCCAACCCTCCCTGCCAATGAGCATCCATGAAGGACACCTGAGTCATACTTTGGGCGTGGCTGAGCCAGATGCACGGAGCTCTGCTTGAAAAAGGTTCAGTGGCCAGTGAAGGGTTAGCAAACCAGAGCTGGCACGGATGTTTTCCTGCCTGGCTTTCTGAAATTGTTGGACCAGGACAAATCACAATCCTGTGGTGGCCTGGCCTGATACATGACAAGAAAGGACCAATTTGGGTTCTTTAAAACAGAGAGGAATTCCCAGGTTTCCTTAAAACAACAACAAAAAAGATTATTAAAACTTTGGAAAATTCAGAAAAGCACAAAGAAGAAAATAAAAATCACTACTTTATTTCTCCAACCTGTGATAAGTTCTGTTAACGTGCTGTGGGGTTATTTGCGACTTTTTCCTTTGTGTGTGTGTGTGTGCACATGCATGTGTTTGTGTGTGCACATGTGTGTGTGCTTTTTGTTTCATTCTGAATTATGCTTTTTCATAAGATAAGCAAGAAACAGGGGCAGAGCAGAGGACTTCTGAGCCCCTCTCCCAGGAATAGTTGGAAGAGTTGGGAGAGGAACCCAAGGAGAAGACAGTCATAGGGCAGACAAACCGCCTTCATCTTGTAACCAGTGCTGGGAACGGCATGGCTGAAGTACGACTCCTCAGATGGCAGCCATTGTGATGAGCCAGGGAACGAAACTCATCCAGGAGGTGTAAATCCTTTTCTCCTGCAATCATACAGAACAAGAGGTGATGAAACATTGCCCTGCTTTCACAGGAGATGAGGGAGCAGACTTTCCAACATGCTGGAAATAATTATCCTTGGACACCTCACCCTCCCAAGCTGTCTAGACAGGCTGGTCCTCTGTGTTGTCTGAATAATAAGCCTTCTTCACACCACTTCCCTAAAGATGACTCTGTCAACATCATCGTCAACTCTGGCAGCTCACGTGTCATTTACAGAAACCTATGGCATTGTGATAGTCCTTAAGTACTCCACTTGCCAGAGAAATCTCATTCCAGAGACTGAGTGTTTTCATCACCTTCCGTGTGACTCACTGTGTCACCCAGAAGAGAGACTCGTCAGGCAGAATGGAGCTTAATTCACCAGCCCTAAACAATTTTCACCCTCGCACTGGTTTTCGGTTTCTTTCTAACACCAGATCGATCCTGTAAGAAAAGCACAGATGCGGAGCTGAGAGGAAAACCGAGGTGTGGGGAGAAGGGGCTGGGACAAGGTTCACTTCCATCTCTTGGCTGTTAACTAAAACTGAACTTGGTCATATCATCTTCTTCCTTATAATGAACCGTGGGGCTTCATTATACTATTCTCTCCATTTATGAGGATGTTTGAAAATTTTCAAGATGCAAAATGCAAAAAAATCATATTCTGAACGGTGGGTAAAAAAGTGACTTTTGTGGGGGCAGACAGCTTTCTAAGCCCATGAAGATGCCCAGGTGGATTTTTCAGGCCAAATGGCTCCCATGTCTGTGCCTGTTGTCTCTGTGGTGTCAAGAAGTAGCTAATGGCTTCGTCTTAATGTTGCCATAGAAATTCTGTGAACCAGAAAGAGAACAGGCAGCGGGGCTACAGAAAGTTGGTCCTGCTCTAGAGTTATGCAGAAAGTTTCACTGTGCTCCTCTCTGAGGACATCTAGAAACACTGCTGAGTCACAGAGAAGGCCCTTCTCTGGGGGTGGACCGCCGATGACCATTAGTCTTGGGTCTCCTGTCAGGACCTTGTCTGCCCCCTCCCATTGTTCCCTGTGCAACTCAGAGCAAAAAGTGATTTGTATTTGTGAAGGTGAAATTTGTAAAACTTGAGTCTTTCCAATGTGCTGTCATGAGTACTTTATTGTAAATTGCTCCAGTCTCAATAAAATATATTTTGGGTGTGTGGACTGTGCTTCCTGGACCTGTGATTAGGCCACAGTTGGTAACCTTTAGAATGGGGATCCACATGGATTAGACGGAGAAAGCGTGGAGATCATCTGCCCACACCCCTGCACGGTACAGCGGAGGAAGCGCACACACTGAGAGGGGGAAGAGCCAGTTGAGAACCTCTGACTCTTGGTCTAGTACTTCCTCCCCTGAGCTGGCTGCCAAGTCTCCTGTTTCGTGATTATGAGTTTGTGCTGAGCGTTTTAACCTGGTGATCTGTTCTTGGTGATTCAGGAGGAGGCAAAGCTGCCAGTCAAGCCTAAAGAGTGGCTCCCACCCTCAGTGTATGGTAGGTAGTGCATTCTTGTGTTTACCAGGGTTTCTGCCCCACTGGGCCTGGGGTCCCCCATCCTACCAGGTAAGCCGGGTAGAAGCCTTCATTGCATACATAATTATCCTGATGCCATCCAGATCCCAGGAAATCAGTTTCAAATAATTTCGCAGAAGGTTGCTCATAGGTGATTTACTCAGCCTAGGGTAAGTTTGAAGGAAAAATGAAAGGCGTAGGTGAAGGAGAAGGGAACAGACTTGCTGACACCTCTTTTGTGAGCTACGATGCTAAATGCTTCTGAGCTCGTGAGCTCCTTCACCCTCACAGCAATTCTCCAAGGTGGGCATTGTTCTTTCTCCACTGCATGGGAGGAAACCAAGTCTCAGCTAAAGATCACACAGCAAAATTGGGAAAATGCTACCTTCATGGAGATTAGCTTATGAGAAGGCATGTAGAAAAGAATCTTAATTTGCTTTTGATCCAATGTTCTACAAATTTCCTTGACCATGAGATATATTTTTGGGCAAAAACCTGTTAACTGTCTAAAAACCAGTGCTTGAGTGATATGCTTTGGAAAATGCTTGACTAGGTGAGCGCCAAGGCCCCTTGCGGCTCCATGGTCAGTGAATCCATGGTTTTAGTACAGGCAGGATCTCATGCTGCCTTGTGAGCTCAGTTCTGGTTAGAAGCATCTTCCGAACAAGCTCTAAGTGACTCCCAGATTGCTGGTGCCCTGCTTGACTGACCATGGCAGGTTGCCAAAGCAAACAGCTGTCTTGTAGGCAGCTCAAGGCTCGGGGACCTCAGATAGCACAGGCAGAACTCAGCTACACCCTCACTGCTCCAAGCTGGTTACTGCATGCCTCCAGGGCCTCTGTGCTGCTGTGCAAGCTAAAGGCTATGGGGAAATGGGAGCTGTGCCAAGGTGTTTGGGCCAGGGGTAAACGTGGGAAGACTGGGGGTTTTGGAGCATCCACTGGGGAAACATACTTGTCTTAGAGTGTCACCTGAAGATGCTAGAAGGTGCTGCTAGTGCTGTGGGATCAGGTCTTCAGCATCTTGCTTTGGCATCTCCTCCCACCATGCACACACCGTTCTCTCTCATTTCAAGGAGTAGTTAGGGAAGGAATAAATAAGATACATGTAATAATGGATGCACTTTGAAAAAGACCCCAGAGGTATTTCATGTGAGAAAGCCCTAGGATTCAGCTTCCTTTCTGAGAATAAGCTTTTTGTGGCCTCTCTTGCTGTGAATAAGCTACTTGCTGCTTCATGGGATGAAGCGATGGATGTTAACATCCCCTCCTCTCCTCCTATTGCTAGTCTCACAGGGACCCTGTCCTCAGACTGCTCGTGAATTTTGGGTGTTCAGCTTAAATGTGAGGAAAGCAAAGGAATCATGAACATAGGATTTGGGATACTGGTTACCCAGATGGGGGAGAAGGGGTATGGGTTGGTGTGTAGTGGGGTGGGGACCACGTGGTTATAAAAAATTGTCAAGGTTCTAGCTTTTGTTTTGGGCAGTGAGTTCGTGGGTTCTTATTACATGATTAAAAATAACTAATCAAGTAACTAACCAAATAGCTAAAAGCAGGTCATACCTGGACCAACATTAAGGGTGTGCCATAAACCCAGGATTATGATTAATCCAATTCTGTGCCTCTGCAGTTTATGAAAAACAAACACTAACAATAGAAATGGAGACCTGGATGTCCAAGCCTTCAATTTTCTTCCCTGCACCCTTTCAATCAAGTTACATCTATGTCAGTATTATTAAAACACGCAAATAGAGTTCACTGCCGAGACAAGTAGGATATGACAATTATAGTTCCTTTTTAAAAACAACCTTGTTTTTCTGGAGTTAAAACTTACCTCTCTGTGTCTTTTGTTTAGTTTTCTATATCACTGTCGCTAAATCTTTCCCAATTTTTCAAAATAGTTAAAACCCCTATGGACGTGACCACACACATCAAGTGTTCTGCCAGAGCCCCTCCCCCACACCTCCAGGGCCAACTCAGCGCCTCTACCCCCGACTCGCTGATCTCTGTGTCTGCAGAACACTTGCTCTCCCTGGACTCACCTTCTCCTCTCCTCAGTGGTTAGATGTTCCAGTTTCCTTGATCCCTGTCTTCTTTTTTTGTTTTCTCCCTCATTTGGGAAGACTACATCTTCCAGCAGTTGCCCAAGAAATGGTGCATAAGGGCTAATTTCTTTTGAGACTTTGCATGTCTGGAAATGTCTTTAGTTTGACATATAATTAGTACTGTGTCTAAATACAGGATAATAAGTTAAAAATAATTTTCTCTTAGAACTTTTAAGGCATTTGTATTCGTTTTCTATTGCTGCCATAACAAATGACCACAGCCTTAGTGGCTTAAACCACACAAATTTATCTTACACTTCTGGAGGTAGGTCAGAAGTCTGACACAGGTCTCATGGGGCTAAAATTAAGGTGTCAGAAGAGCTGTGTTCCTTTCTGTAGGCTCTGGGTTGGACCTATGTCCTTGTTTTTCCCAGCTTCTAGAGGCCACCCACATTTCTGTGTTCATGGCGCCTTCCTCCAGCTTCAGAGCCAGCAACATGGCATCTTCCGACCTTCTATAGTCACAGTTCCCTCTGAATCTCTTCTTCTGCCTCTCTCCTTCTGCCTCTCTCCCTCCACTTTTTAGGAACTTTGTGGTTATGTTGGGTCCACCTGGGTAATCCAGCATAATTTCCCTATCTTAAAGTCAGCTGATTAGCAACCCTAATTCCATCTGCAAACTGAATTTTCCTTTGCTTGAACATACTCACAGGTTCTGGGGTTTAGGATGCACACGTCTTTGGGAGGGCTTTATTCTGCCTACCAGTATTGCTCCACTTCTTTCCAGCACTTGTGCTGAGAAACTGGATGCTTTTCTGATTCCCAGTCCTATGCATGGGGTCTGAGTCCCATCAGTCTTAGGCAGAGGCCACACAGGTGAGTTGAATGGCTGTAAGAGGGATCACTACCTCTGCCCCTGTCGAGTATGTAATCTTGGCACCAACCTCTGAGATTCCCCTAGGGATATGATTTTGCCTTTGGTTTATATTTTCCCTGGGAAGAGGAGTTTCAGGAGCTTCCGCTTGACACTACTGTAACTGTCCTCATGAGTAGATTCTGCCAGTTGTTAAGTATTTCAACTCCATACTTAGGAACTCAGCAGTTAGCCACAGAATAGACTCGTGGACCCACTGTGAGTGGGACACAAGCCAAAATTCCATTTATCAATTGACCTACATAATCCTCTCTCACCTGTGGATGACAGCATCTTTTTTTTTTCTTTAATCTCTAATAATTGGTTGAACCAAAAGCCAATGTCCAGTTATCCCCAAATGTGTACATCGCTCATTCCATGAGCCCCTTTGGAGAAGCTACTTGGGAGAATTATTTACCCTAAGAGTGATATTGTCCTTGTCTTTTCTTCCTTCAAGGGATCCATGATCTGTAAACTGACTCAAGTATGCAAAGTAGAAGAGGGGCTCTGACTCTCAAATGTGGTGGCTCAAGTCAGGTCTCCATTTGCCAGACCTAGCGCTGTTTTTTGTTTTGTTATACAAATCAAGTAAGACCTTCATAGGATGTCTTTCTATTTATTCAAGGTCTGTAGTACAAGAGGGCAGTTGGAATGGTTGTCAAAGAACCAGTCTTATGTAGCCGCCATAGCAAAGCTCCATGAGAAGTCATGTCTCTGTCTTTGAAAGTCTAAAATTCACTTTATTATGCCTTCACTCTGGAATGATGGTTCAGCTGCATAGAGAGTAGCAAGTTGGCTGATATTTTCCCCTCAGCATTTTGAGAAGCTTATTCTATCGTTTCTGGCATCTGTTGCTAGGGATGATGAGCCTGCTCTGTGAATGTCTTTCCTTTGTAGGCAGCTTTAAAGATTTTATCTTTGACATTTTGAACCTTTACTACTAAATATCTCGGTGTATATTTGTTTTATTTATTCTATTTAGAACTCTGTCTGATCTTTCACTCTAAGGATTGATGTCTTTTTTCGGTTCTGAAAAATTACCTGACAATATCATATTAAACATTACTTATTCCCAATTTCTTTTTCTAACTCTGTAACTCTTACTTGTCATTCATTAGAGTTTCTTATTAGATTATCTTTGACTCTTAATTTCCCTTTCATATTTTTCATCTCCTTATCTCTCTGTGTTGCATCCTGTTTGATTTCTGGAGATCTTTTATTTTTTTTTTTTACAGAAGATCAGCCCTGAGCTAACATCTGCTGCCAATCCTCCTCTTTTTGCTGAGGAAGACTGGCCCTGAGCTAACATCCATGTCCATCTTCCTCTACTCCACATGTGGGATGCCTACCACAGCATGGCATGCCAAGTGGTGCCATGTCTGCACCCGGGGTCCGAACCGGCCAATCTTGGGCCACTGAAGCGGAACATGCGCACTTAACCCCTGCACCACTGGGCCGGCCCTGGAGATCTTTTAATTCGTTATTTCTCTCTTTAGCTGAGTCTAGTCAAATATTTATTGTATTTTTTATAATTTGAATAACTATTTTCTTTTATTCCTAGTGTGACTATATTATATGTTTCTTTTTGAGATGTGTCTGCTCTTTTCTCTTAATGTCTTCTCCTTGTATTGTGGACACTATTCTTCCTTTTCTCTCTTTGAACAGTTTAGTCATTCTTATATTGAAGTCCCTT